CCCTGAGGAAAGCTGTGGGGGGAGCACAGTTGGATCCTATGAGAGGAGCAGGGCCAGGGCTGCCCCGTCCCGCTGCCCGTCCTGCCCCTGGCTGGCGGGGTGACCCTGGGATGTCACCGTGCCTCAGTTTCCCCATCTGTAAAATGGGGAAAGCAGTGCTGCTCTACCTCACAGGGATTGCTGTGAGGCTTCTTTGGCTCACTCTTTGTAAAGCGTCCCCGCAGAGGGTTTTGGCACTGGGGAGACTACGCTGAGTTTCACTTTCCCCATCTGTAGCGCAGGGTTCAGCCCTCGGCTGCCCCCCAGGGGCTTTGCACAGCACTCCGAGCTCCCAGGCAGAGGCACACTGCGAATGCCCCGCGTTACCCCTGTCGTGCATGAGAGCTTGGGCTGGAGCCGCCCCGAGACCCCCGGCCCCCCTCACAGAAAGCCTCCAGGGCAGGAAGGGATTTTTTTTACAGAACTGTTTTTAGCTGTCCTATAACCCGTCAGCCTTTTTTAGTCGGTATCTGGACACAGTTCCACCTACCCCAGGATATGCAATGCTGTACTATGCATGGATTATTCCTCTGGCTTGATGGAGGAAGTCAACATAACCCCTGTCTGGAATGCAGTTCTGTCTGTACGCCGACAGATGCAGTGTGGAATGCAGTGCAGGGTGGGGGGAGTTCTGCAGGACCCCTTCTCCTGAGGCCTTCCATGGCTCTGTGGGATGAAGGCACTGCCTGAGGTGTGAGCTGTGATGGACACATATGTACACACATGTATCAACACCTGTAGGAGATACCTGCAATAAACACCAGGTGTGCACCACGTGCTGCGTGATGGCTTCAAACACCTTTTTGCACCGTTAGGGTTTGCCCAGCTTTGCCTTGAGCAAAATAAAGTTTCGGTTTGCCAGGGTTAACTCTCTGGCTTGGACTCCTCCAGGTGCTCATTTGGCCCCTGCTTGCTTTAAGAAGAGCAGGGATGGGAAAGCAGCCCAGCCCAGCACAGTGGGCTGGTTGCGGGACAACCAGCGAGCAGGAGGGACAGACAGAGCCTTCAGAGGCTGCGTGGAAAAAAAAAACCACAAATACTTTATTTTAATGGCGATACACTGAAGCACAAACATCGTTTATCTCTGTAAAACAGTAATGAGCAAAGAGCAGCGTAGATCCTGACGCAGCAAGATCAGCACAGGGCAATAAATTAATCTTTCTCTGGAAGGGAGCTCCAGCTGGGTGCATTCTGAGGCTGCGGCCGCTGCCTGAGCTGCCCTTTGCCTCCTAGTCCGGGCCCCAGCACGGCACCAGTGTCCTGGCAGGTCTCAGAGCTCCGACTGCAAGGGGAGAGAGGAAAGGAATGGTACAGAGAAGCCACAGCACAGCAGTGACAGTAAGGTGCAAAGGGCACTGACCCTGCGGATGGCGTAGATCCAGTCAAGGTACATTCGGACACTGGTGTAGACACCGGGCGTGCTGGGGGTGCCGCAGCCGAAGCCCCAGCTGACGATGCCCACCACCTGCCAGTGCCTGTTTGAATACAGCAGCGGCCCTCCGCTGTCCCCCTGCCAAAGATCAACGCTGGCTGTGAGCATCACTCTGGGCACGCATCCCCTCCGTGGGGCTGTTCTATAGAGCAACCTGCCCAGTTCAAAGAGTGGGCACCCCAGTGTGGTGGGACACCCGATGCTGCCCCTCACCTGGCAGGTGTCCACCCCGCCCTCGGGCAGCCCTGCACACAGCATCTTCTGCGTCACCTTGCCGTGGTACGCCTCCAGGTTGCACCTCTGCACGCTGCTCAGCCTCACCTCCGCCTGCTGCAGGGTCTCTGACAATTTGCCTGCACACAGCAAAAAGTGGCTGCTCAGAGGTGTCCCCAAGCAGCCCCCCAAGCAGCGTGGAGCCCGCGATGTCCTACTCACCGTTCTGCTGTGTGTAGCCCCAGCCTATCACCCACAGCGGGGTGCCCGGCTCCAGCTCCTCATCGAAGTAGGGCAGGCAGATGGGCTTGGTGCTGTCTGCAGGGCAAGGCACAGTGAGGTGCAGAAGGTGCTGCTAAGCACCCCAAGCATGGCGTGCAGCCAGCAAGCACCAGGCAGTCGGTGCCTCCATTCCTCTGCACCACGTTATGCTGTAACGCAGGCTGACCTGCCACGGCTGTGGGAGCCTGGGATCGTGGGTGCAAGGTGCTGGGGTGCACCACGTCTCACCTGAGATACGCAGAGGGACCTGCAGCTTCACCAGCGCTATGTCATTGTTATTGGGAGACGTGGGCATCCGCTCGGCCAGGAAGACCTTCTCCACGGTGAGGGTGGCAGGGCCAGAGAGGACGTGGGAGCCGGCCTTCACGCGCCAGCTGGGGATGATGGGGTTGTTCCTGCACACGGACACATTACTGCTCCCATCCCTCCCATCCAGGGCAGGCACGGTGCTCCCTATGCGCTGCTCAGCGCTGCTAGGGGACGCTTCAGCCCCGGCTCACCTGAAGCAGTGCGCGGCGGTGAGGATCCAGCGGGGGTCGATGATGCTGCCGCCGCAGATGTGCTCCCCACGGTAACGCAGGCTGACCTGCCATGGCCAGGCCTCGATGGCCGCCGGCCGCCCGCCCAGCACACGCGGCGTCCGCACGCTTTCCCCGCAGCCTTCACCGGGGCAGAGCAGGATGTGAGCTCAGGAAGGGACCGCTGGGATGGAGGCTGCCACGGCCTCACCCCTCTCCACGCCGCTGTGTCACCCCTCGGTGGCACGCTTGGCACACCCCCTTTTGTTCTCTGTTTGCACATTGTCCCCAGGCTTGCCCAAATCTGGCCACCCCCGGGTTTTGCTCTCCAGCCCACCATGGGGTTTGTTTAATCAGAGTAATTCATCAGCAGAATTGAACCCACCCAGAGCCAGAGCTGTGTGCACGGGGCTGAGCTGGGAGCAGCACGAAGCCCTGGGTGCCGTAAGGCACAGACTTGTCCAAATACTTACTGGAACAAAGGAGTGAAACAACCGATCCAGAAAGGCACTTCCTAGAAGAGGGAGGAGAAGGGCTGTGTCCTGCACAGGAGCGGCTCCAGCTCAGCACCAGGAGTGGCTCCCACGGGTGGCACTCACCTGCCTGGCTCAGGCAGCTGCAGGCGGCCGCTGCTCAGCACCAGCTCACGGGGAGGCAGGGGCTGTCCTGCACCCGCATCCACTGCATAGAATGTTGGGGTGCTGGAAGAGATGGGCACGGGTATGTTGGGCATGGCCAGGGGTTGGATATGGGCTGGGACTGAGACTAAGGGGTTATCCTGCTCTAAAGATTTAGGAGCAGGTCCCAAATGTTCACCCATAGCTCCAATAGAGCGCTGAGACGGAGAGGGAGCAAGAGCTTAGGAAGGGGATGGGACCCTCCAAGAAATAGGAGAAAGGGTGGGGGGACAGAGAAAGAGGTTTGGGAGTTGGGCATAGCAGGGATGCAGCACTGGGTTCCTCTGGGGAGCTGCCAGGCTCCGTGGGCACAGCAAGTGCTCTGCGTGCTGAGGATGGGCTGAATCCATTAGTGCAGAACTCTGAGTGCTCCATAAGTAAACAACAGCCCACTCCGAGAGGCTTTTAGGGGAGAGTGATAGATTGAAGCGAGAGAGGTGTGGGGAAAGCAGCTACCTGCTGTAGCCCATTTCCTCACAGGCTGCTTTTGCCAGCGCTGCGCTGAAGTGGTCAGAACAGATGCAGGACCAGGCTCCAGTGTTCCTGTTTAGCACCTGCAGGATCGATCTGTCCTTGGAAAGGCGAGCTGCAGGGAGGGACAGAGTCACCTTTGCCTTGGGTCACCTTGCTGGGCGGGGGCTTGGCTGCATCGTGGGGCTCCGTGGAGTGTCTGGCACTCACCAGCAGCCTGCGGCCCCTCGGGGACCTCCTGGGGACAGCTGGCCTCGTCCTCGCCGTTCAGGCAGTCCGCCTCTCCATTGCAAACCTGCTCGAATGGCACCAGCTTCAGAGGCTGCTTGCAGATGAAGTAATGGTGGTCCAGGTAAACCTTGACTGGGGAGAAGCAGGGAGCTCAGCTTGGGGCAGGATGGAGATGGCACAGCCACTCCCAGCCGAGCACTGGGCAGGAGCAGGCACAGAACAGAGCAGGAGCCGCACCCAGGAGCCCAACTGCAGCCAGGCAGGCGAGGACGAGCACGGTCACCAGGATGGGGATGCCGATCCTCTTCCAGGAGCTCTGTGCCTCTGAGGCTTTGCCTCTCGTGCCGGGTTCTGCAACACAGAGCAGGGAGCCTGGCAGTGCCACCCCATCTGGCGGCCCCCATGGCACCCCTGGCCCCGTGGGCATTACCTTCACCGTTCAACCGCTCGGAGGCTGGGTCCTGTAAAGTGGAAGGGAAAAGCAGGCAGTGAGCTGAAAGAGCCAGCAAAGTGCTGCTGGTGCATGGTGGGGTCAGCAGCAGGAAGGCCAGCTCTCCCCATGGTGCTTGCTACACCGAGTCCCAAGCTGACATTGCCCAGGAGGGCAGCCCAGAGAAATGAGAACCACTGCTGGCTGGGCACAGAGCCTGCCCTGTGTTCAGCAGGGTTAGCTGGCAAACTGCCCCAGCAGGCTGCTGGAGAGACAGTGAGTGAGAGAACCTGCCTTATCCCAGTGCATCATCACTGGGACAAGCAGCTGTGGTGTTCCCCAGCACATCACCAATACGGTTCCAGTAATGTATACATGCCATGCAATTATGATCCTAATTCAACTTAAAACTTCAGGAGTTTTAAGGAGGCTTAAAACTTCAGGTTTTATGAAACAAACACTTCCAAGCGTTCCATGTCTTGTGCACCAAGAAATGAGTGTGGCTGCCGGGCTGTGCCACTCATGCATGTCGCAGTGGGTGATGGCCTCTGGCTGGCCCAGAGCAGGGCCTGAAACTCTCTGCTCCAACAGGCGCAGCTGCTGCACTCTGCAGGGCTGGGGAAAACCAGCCCAGCCCATGGGAACAAGTGCTCTCAGGTGGGCAGGCAGGGCTGTGCTGCTGCTAGGAGACTTGGCAACAGCGCTGGGGCAAGCGATGAGCGCAGCACTGATCTTGCCTGGGTCTTTCAGGACTCTGTTCCTCTAGGAGCTCCCTGTAAGAGAGACGTGTGGCTGCAGGAGTCCCACTGTGCTGCACACAGAGCAGCCCCAGACTTGGCAGAGACCGGCTGGGTGGGCTCAGGCAGACTCGTTTCCTGCCCTGCTTGCAGCTGCTGCCTGAGAGCTGGTGCCTTGGAATTGAGCTCCTGGGTGCTGTGGGAGCAGCATGGCTGTGTTTCATCCTAGTGCCCTTCAGCCCTGAGAGCATTTCTGCAGCTGCTACTTCTGGACACCACCACGGCAGGTAAGGGTGGACTTATTGCACCAAGAAAAGGGATATTAAAATGGGAGCTGCCTCAGGGGCTGTCTTTGCAAGGGTACCTGCTTGCTCTCTAAGCCTAAAAGCAAGAACTTCACTGGTTAAATTCAAAGCCAGAGCTGTGCTAGCTCCTGTGTGGAATGCAGGCACACGATTTCCTTGGGAACCCACTGCTACCGTAACTAATTGTGCCCCCATGCCTTATTGTCTGGAAAAACACAAACGCAGCTGTGGCTGGCCTGCCCTCAGTTGCTGCCTGGGCACAGTGCATCCACTGGGCTGTGCTGGGAGCCTGTGCCACAGCTCCTGGAGGTGGGATGCTCCAGTTTAAAATAGCTTCAGCCTGCGCTAAGGGCTGTGTCCCAAGCCCTGCTGCCTCCTTGGCTGCAGGGAATCCAACCCGTGTGCATGCAGCCATCGATCCTGTGCAGGGGCTGAGGTCCCCATCCCAGTGCTGCTGGGGGGTTTTGTTGGGCCATGCATTGCCGCTCAGCTAAAGAAAGCTTTTGGTCTAGGATAGGGACTGCGTGCCAGCCTGGGGGTAGATGGCCACGGCTTTGCTTGCTAAAAACCCCTGCAGCAAACAGCGCTGAGCTGTCGAGGGGAACAGCGAGAGCTCAAGGGAGGGCTGGGGAGCAGAGAACTCACCATGTTCTTCCAGCTCCCGGGGGGGGGGGGGGGGTCTTCTGCCAGCAGAAACCCAGCGAAAATCCCAGGCACGGGGAGGCCTTGGGCACCCTCTGCCCCACGCCGCTCCCACGGCCCCGCGCTGCTCCCACCACCCTGTGCCGTGCTGCTCTGCCCCGCGCCGCGCTCACACTGGGGCAGAACCGCCCCAGCACTCCCTAAAACCCACAAGAGGAGTTGTGAAACAGGAATTATGATTTGTATTGTAATATAACACCGGTCTATCAGCAGCACCATCACCTGCAGTAATCTCCCCAGGTTCTGCCGCTGGGTGACTCACCTGCGGAGCCACTGTCACAAAATCACTGATCAGGAGCGAGCTGACTGACAGAGCAGGATTTTTTCATGCTTCTCTACAGATGATGAGAAGAAACACAGCCTTCCCGCTCTTCGTCCATCCCTTCCGCATTGTGCTGGGTTGTTTTCAAACAGATTCTGGTAGGTGGAGGAGGAAAGAAGAGTTTATACATGAGGTTACAGGGCCAGTGCATGTCCCTGTCCCTGGGGTCACTCGGGAGCGTGCCTGCAGCACCGCACTGTGTGACGCAGGGAGGAAGGGCACAGTGCTGGGAGGTGACATGTGGGGCAACAGCAGTTCAGTGTCCTGGACTGGCTGAGCCCCACCAGATGGGTGCAGCAGAGGAAGGATGCAGCACGTGGCCCCCAAACTCCCTGAGATGGATGGATGCTGGAGGATGGGCATGCAAACCTGCAAACCACATTGCTCGGTGGGGGTGCCGTGCTGTGCTGGATGGATGTGCTGCTGTTGCTCAGGACAGGGCTGGCAGTGGTGTGGGCAGAGGGGTTCCTGCAGCCCCCCAGTAGCAGGTGCTTGTAAAGGGCAGGATGATGCTCAGCTTTGGGGTGCGGGAGCTTCTCTGGCTTCCTGTAGGCTGGGGTCAGGGAGTGTGCAGCTTGCACAGCTCCTGGCTAGAAAGTCGTGCAGACTCATGCTGGAAGTGGTGGGTGTGCAGGATTTGTGAGCAACTAATTACCTCTCTTCTTGTTGTAATTGAGCTTTCCCAACAGCTGGGGAGAGAGCTGCTGCCAGCTGTGAGCACAGTGCCAGCGGGAGCCCGCAGAGCATCACATCCCTACAGCTCACAGCCAGGGACATGTCCCCTCCCTGTGCCAGAGCCCTGAGACAAGGACACTGCTCTGGGACGGGCAGCAGCACAACCCTGTAGCCTGACCAGGGATCTTGGCATCCACATGCAGGTAAGGGATGCTGCTTCCACACTCCCTGGCGTTCACTGATTATAAGATACAGCATGATGGAACGAGCTCTCCAGCGCATCCTGAGCCTCCTGTCCACTGCCATGAACCAAACTGTGGCTTAAAAGCAAAAGCAGCTCAGGAAGTGGTTGAGGGATGGGGCAGATGCCCTGGACCAAACTTAGCCCCATGTATACCCACAGCCCTACGACCCAACAGGGAGAGCCCTTACAGTGCTGCCTCCCAGAGCTCCCATTGCCCAGCGAGTGTTGGTGGGGCAGGAGTAGGAGGTGGCACTGAGGAGAGAGGCTCTTCCTCTGTTGAGGTTAAGCAAAGGCTTTGAGGAAGCAGCAGAGGTTTGGAGATGTTATGTCACAGCCCCGCACGCCTGCAGGGCTTTGCTTCCTGGAGTGTGGCTGCTTTGCTACCCCAGCCGCCCTTCCCCAAACCTCTGCCATGCGTGGCCCTGGTGTGACGTGGCTCAGTCTGGGGTCAGGCTGGGGACAGGCAGGCAGCATGAGGCTCTGAGTGGCCACCAGCATGCAGGGCTACAGCACTCAGGCTCCCTCTCCCTCCAGCTCTTCCCCGACTCTCTGCCCTGGTCATCACCTCGTGGTCCTGGTGCTGGGGAACTCACTCCAGAAAAGGATGCTTGGGGCTCAGCTCCTTCCCTGTGCATCTCCCATTGCAGGGCTTCCCCCTGGATGCCCACTTTCTGAGCTGTTAGCTGATGTCCCTGCTTGCTGCTTCCCACCTGCAGCCACAGCAGCTGCATTCCTGGTCCCTCCTGTGAGTGGGCAGCAGTTCCCACATGGCTCTGCAGCTTAGGCTTTGAGAAGGTGGCCAAACACAGATGTTAAGCGTGCTGCACTGGAGCTGCCCTGTCCTCCTACCCTTGCAGGCATCCCCAAGCCTTGATTGAGTGGGACCCTGCCAGGAGGAGGCAGCTGGGAGGGCAGAACTGCTCAGGTATGGTGCTTGGGGCTGCACACCTGTGTGCCTGGGGCTGGGCACACATGTCCCTGGGGCATCCCTATCCCCTTGGGCTCCTGATGCCACGAGCTCAACCTCTGCTGGGTCTGGCTCCTACCTGCAGCAGGAGGGCAGAGCCACCTTCATTGCCCAGCCCTGCAGGGAGGGGAGGTCAAACTGGGGCATGAGGGTGATGTCTGCCAGGGCTCTTTGCTTTCTCCACTGGGAACCAGTCGAGCCAGCAGGTGAGGAGCAGTGTCACTGGGCAAGCAGGGGACATGTGTGACACACTGGGCTCTGGGAGTGGCTCCCAGCCTGGCCAGCCATGAGCAGTTCCTGCGGGAAGGCAGCAAGCACAGGGAGATGGACCTTGAGACAGGTAAGCAGTTGGCACTTTTTCCCCATATTGAATGGTGGTGAAGTCGTTTTATAGCACAAATGGGGTGGTGACCTTCTTTTCTGCTCTCTTTGGGGATGGGGCTTGGGTCTGGTTTCTGCTTTGCTGCTGTGCAGGGAGCACCTTCCATAGGCAGAGGGCAGAGGCTGGGAATGCAGCGTGGCAGCGAGCACACCCTGCAGCAGCAGGCACGGGGACAGGGCAGTTTCGGCAGCCAGCTGCTTCAGGGAAGCGATTGCACCACGCTCAGCTCCCAGTGACTCACCAGGCAGCACGCTGCCTGCCCTCATCCTGCGGGGTCCTGAGGCTCCCAGCTCACCTCTGGCCCAGTAGAAGGAGCACAATACCCACGCGCCCCAGCACTGCTGGGAGCCCAGGCTGATCCTGTCTGTCCACGCTACCATCCCAGAGCTGACGGTGCGATGCTCTGCTGCTCCCCGGCCGTTTGTCGTGCGCCATCAGGTACGGCGAGTGCTGCAGGTTGTGGGATGATCTGGGATGTTACACACTGTGTAAACACGGTGACCACAGGGGAAGTGTTCTCACCCCACCGGCATCTGTCTAAATTTAGCTGCTGTTAGGTCATCCCTTTCCGCTGGCTCATTCTCGATGCTGCAAGGCGCAGTGCCTGTCTGTGTGCCGGTACCTGCCCTGAGCCCCTGCGCTGTGCCTGCCTGCTCCGAGGGCCCGATGGTCAGGGCACACAGGTCACGGAGCACCCTGACCTATTGAGGCTCTTCAGCATCTGCAGCAAGGATAGGGAGAGAATCTATCAGGGGGTGTAGTGAGAGGACAAGGGGTAATTTTAAACTCAAGAAGGGTCCATTCTTGCACAGTTCTGCATGGCTCTGCACGGCTCTACACTGCTCTGCACTTTACACGGCTCTACACGGCTCTGCGTTGGTCTGCACGGCTCTTGCCCTGACGCCTGCATCCTCTAGAGGGAACTGTGTGCCCGTGCATGGGCTGCTGCAAGCCACCCTCACTCCCAAGGCTGGGCGTGGTGGAGCAGAGGGATGGCACAGCATGGGGGCACGCAGCCCCAGGTTTCCTCCAGGTGATGCTCATAATCACAAGTCTCCCAGAGGCATTTGTCTGCAGAGCCCCTTTTCCCTCTGCTTTGTAGGGCAAGGGCTCATCGGTATGTTTGGGTTCATCTTGGGCATCGGGCTGGCCTTGCTGATCCTGATCATCTCTGGCTACACCGTTTTCCTTTGCTACCATCAGGGCTGGTGCTGGTGCAGTGAGTATGGGCAGAGCAGGGGACGAGCAGCTGCAGGGCGGGGAGGGGACAAAGGAAGGGTGTGGGGAGCACTAATGGCATTTGCTGGTCCCCAAAATCTGCATGCAGGGTGGCCAGAGGGTGCGTAGGGGGAATGCACAGAGACGTCCCGGTGCTCTGGTCATCCAGGGGGTTGTCCTGTCCCTTCCCTGTGCCACCTCACAGAGCTCTCCAGGCACTGCAGGGCCCTCTGACAACCTCTCCTTCCCTCCTCCTCCTTCCAGGGTCTGACTTCATCTTCAACCTCTACCATGGCTGGTGAGTGAGTCACACAGGTGCCCTCTGCACTGTGCTGCAGACACTCGCCAGCCCCTAAGCCCTGGGCAGTGTGAGGGTCCCTCACAGATGCCCAGGGGTCCAACAGCCCCCTGACACCCCTGCCTTCCCTGCAGCAGGCTGAGGTCGGTGGCAGTGGAGCTGGCACCTCCGTTCAGCATCAGTGCCTCTGTGAGCCAGGCAGGGAATGGCTACGTGCGCTTCCAGGAGCAGGGGCTGTGAGCAGCAGGGCATGGTGCTGCTCCTTGTGCGTGGGACCCCAGCTTCATGGAGGTCCTGCAGAGCCTGGAGCAGCATGCACTGGCCTTCCCATGGTGGTAAATGTGCTGCACCCCAAAGCTTTCTGCACCCCAGATCCTCCTTCCCCTCTTGTAGCTCTGGCTGTGGCTTTCCCTGGGATGGTCCCCAGGATTTTCCTCTGAAAGCAGTGAGGAAGCAGGGGCTGGAATATACATGCTTCCTGTGACCACATGCCACTCGCAGCTTCTTCCTGCTGCCTCTTCCCCCCCACCAGCAACCACAGAGAGAACAGCAAAACTGGCCATGGGGAAATTCCTGTATTCTTGGTTCTCTAAAGAACAACTCCCAGATACGCAGGATTTCTACCAAATTTGGAGCAGTGCTGTTTCTGGGTTTTGTTTTTTGTTTTCAATTGAGCTTCTCCATTCTCTCTCTGCTGTGTTTCCTTCTCTGCCCTTTTGGCCTTGGGCAGGGCTGGATGAGGGCCGCTGCTGGGCATGGGCTCAGCCTCCTTCTCTTGAAGTGCAGGAAGAAGGGCACTGCTTCATCCCAAGCACCCACCCTGCAGAGCAAAGCAACCCTGTGTTCCCCTCTGATCTGACATCCCTGTGCTTGGGACCCCGGTTTGCCCAGCAGACCTTGGGGCAGGAACGTGAGGAATCAGCCCAAAAGTGTGGCAAGGAGCCACAGAAATGGATGGCTGACTGTGCAAGAGGGGAAAACGCTGTAAGGAAATGAGAGCACTTCAGACTTCCCTTAGTCAAGGAACTGCACCAATGTGGAAATTTCTCCAGTCTGTACTGACTGTGCAAGAGAACAGTCCAGAAAATCCCCACTGGGTTTCCTCGAGGCTTTCTGGTAAGGGTCTCAGCAGCCCAGTGCCGGGCTGTTGGGCACAGCAGGACAGGTCCCCATGGGGCTGAGCTGTTTGGGACAGCTCTGTGCCCTGCACGGCTCTGCCCCTCTCTATGGGCTGCCCCCTGCTGCCTCCATCCCCTCAGGCTGCCTCACATCGCTGGGTATGGGGCTCTGTGGGTGGGGGATTTGTTGGAAATGCTTTGGAAATGTTGGAGCATCATTGGAAATGCATTCAGGCATCGGTGCTGGGGAGGAAAAAGGTATTTACAGGAGCAGCCCCCCCAGAGCAAGAGGCTGAGATGCGATGCTACGCACTGCGTGGAGGGGGAGGAAAGAGATTTTTGCAGAAGGAATGGAAGAGAAACATCTCAGCAACACTGAGCTGTGACTTCAACGAGGAAAATGTGAGCGCCTGTAGTTTCCCAGAGCCAAAGGGGCTGTCCGTGCTCTCTGCTTTCAAAGCCAAAGCGTGTGGTTTTCTGGCAAAGGCATCTGTTTCACTGAAAGGAGAGCTTGCCGAGGAGGGGGGGTGGAACGTGGTGTCCCTCAGGCACAGCTGCAGCCTGCTGGAGCCTCCCACGGTGAGTGGGAACCGGCAGCGCCCGGCACAGCCCTGGGGACGGCCACAGAGCTTGACGTCAGGAGCACAGAAACCTCACGCTTCTTTCTGACGACTCCGTTTTTCAGAGGAAGTCAAACAAAAAAAAAAAAAAAAAAAAAAAAAAAGAGAGAGGGGAAAAAAAAAGAAAAAAAGAAAGAAAGCAAAAACCCCCAACCTCAAGGAAAAAGAATATGGAAGAAGAAGGAGGGGGGATTGGGGCACCCGTGGGGCTGCAGCGGTTCCCCTGCAGTGCGCAGAGCGCATCTGAGCCCCAGGGAAGGCACGCTGTTGTTGTCTGCTGTGGGGGAATGCCCATATTTGAGAACAGAAAGCACAACCAGGCATTAGAAGAGGAGAAATGATGAGTGGAGCAAAGAAATAATGCTTCATCCCCTTCTGTATTTACAAATTAAATAGAATAAATAGTATCTGTACATAAAATGGCAAAATGTCGACCATCGTGCTGAGAGCGTGGCAGGCACTGCTGGGCTCCCTGGTGTGGGGCTGCAGGCTCCGTAGGGCTGAAGGAGTCCCTGGCTCTTTCAGAGGGCAGCCAGCAGGGCGGGAGGTTCCTGCAGCAGCACGGAGAAAGCTGACGTGGTGCTGTGCTGCACTTTTGGTATCGGTGTTGTGAAAGGTTCGGGTGGCACCGACCGTGTGCCTGCAGGAAGTGGAAGTGGGGAATGGAAACGTGGAAAAGGGAGCCCAAAGCCAGGGCTGTGCTCTGTGCCATGGAGCTGGTGCACGTCCTTGGTCTTGGTGGTCCAGCACAGCCCATCCCCATGTCCCATTAGTGTCAGCAGGGTGCTGGCTGTGCTGGTGGGAAGCTGCCCCAGCTGTAGCGATGGCAGTGGCTCTGGGGTGAGTCTGCCAAGGCTGTGCTCAGGTCGATGCGCTGACATTCAGGGGTCGGTGGTAGCTTATCCAGTGTCTGCTCCAGAGGGGCAGTGGTGAGAGGTAGTGGTGTCAGGGTCACAGGGGGCTCACAGGCGGCTGTCCTTGCTGTCCCTGCTGAGCATGCTCAGCGGGTTGGTTTGCACTGTGAGCCACTCGTCGGAGCTGAGGCTGGAGATGAGGGGTAGCATCCCCATCAGGTCAGTGTCGAAGTTGTCCAGGTCAAGGGGGATTTTCAGAAGCTCAGGGCTGGCCTTGGAGGCCAGGGGAGCCCTACAGGTCAGCATAGGGGACCCCGGGGCAGCAAGGGCTGGAGTGTGGCTGCGTGGACACTCAGGAGAGGACTGCTTCAGGTACCCTTTGGACACCGGCAGTTCCGTGCAGCCCATATCCAGCACAGTGTCAGTGCCAGCTGGGCCCCAAGGGGCTCCTGCACAGGCCCAGAATGTCCCCCCATCAGCTTGCCCCTGCCTCAGCTCCACCATGCCCTTGGATTGCTGCAGGTACCCACGAAACTCCACTTCTTGTGGGCTATCCTGCCCGGTGGTGGGGCAGAAGTCAGGCTCTGCTCCATGTGTAGCTTCCATGAGGTTTCCAGCAGGGCTCTCCAAGCCCACACCACTGTCATCGCCAACAGGCAGCTGCTGCTTGTAGCCACGGTTCTCAGAGTGGCTCAGCTCGGAGGAGGAAGATGAAGATGAGGATGAGGAGGAAGAATGCAGGCAGATGCCACTGTCTGTGCTGGTGCAGCTGCTGTCCCTGCTCCCTGCTGCCTGCTCCTTGGGCCATGCTGGCAGCAGACTGCTCTTCTCTGCTGGTGGCTGGGCTGTGCCTGTGGTGCTGAGGTGCTGGGGCTCCTTCTGGCACAGGAACAGCTGCTGCACTGCATCTGTGCTCCCCGAGGATGAGGTCTCCTGTTCCATCCACAGCGAGCTCTGCTTTATAAAGGACTTCTGGGAGGGACAGAAAAGAGGGGAATGAGTCCTGCTTCATCCCTGCTCGTGGCTTGCCTCTCCCATCCCTTGCAGCAGCCACAAAGGGCACTGTGTGCCCGCTGCCTTACCAGGACAGATGGTGGCCTCATGGGTTTCTTTAGGTACATGCAGACCAGCAGAGCCCCCAGGATGCCCAGAAGGAAGAGGACAATGGCAAAGGAGCTGACAGCGATCGGGATGAGTTCTGCACTTCCTGCAAGAAAGGACGTGCCCAGGTGAGTTTGAAGGGCAGGTCCCATGGCACACATTGCTTGGAAACCCCACAACAGGCACAGCTCCCCCCAGGGTCCCACAGTGCCCCTCCAGCCCCACTCCATCCTTACTGTCTCTGTGGCCAATGGTGACACACTGCTCAGCGGTGCGTGTGGCAGGGATGTGCCGGCTGGCCACGTCAGGCTCCACACTGATGCAGTACTCAGTGTTCCAGAAGAGGTTGTGGATGTGGAACTCTGAGGCGGTCTCCCACACTTCGTACTGCAATGAGAGAGCACAGCTGGTACTCGAGAGCTGGGCCCCAAGGTCTGCTCCCTTCTCCTCCTCCATTCCCTGGAGAAAGCTCCCTAGTGCTTATCAGAGCTGTTGGCAGCAGCCAGACCCCAAATCCCTCTGGAGGGAGGGAGATGGAGGACCTGCTACAGTAAGCAGTACAGAGAAATATCTGCAATGTTCTGGCTCTGTTAACTCAGATGGAGGACTGATGCTCACCGTCTGGTTGTCCTGCGCCCTCCGGATGTACACCCGGTACCGCCTCGCGTGCTTCTGGATGTCCTCATATTTCACAGTGCGGTTCCCTGCCCGGAGCAGCAGCAGCAGCTTCACATGGATGCTGTTGTCCATCACGGCCAGGCTGTGGCCAGACAGGCGCAGGCTGGCTGCAGAGAGGGGAGGTTCAGGAGTATTACGGAGGGTCCTCCTGCAGCTCCAAGAACTTTGGAACAGCTGAGGATGGAAGTGGGTGCTGACCTACCTTCCTGCGGGGAGAAGGCATTGGTCCTTTTCCAGTCAGATGTGTGGTTCCCAAGCACAGCTCGCACCCGGGCATAGTAGCGCAGGGAGGGATCCAGGGTGTAGTACGTGAGGTCACAGCTGTGCCCACGGATCTTCATGCAATTCGGGATGGCGGTCCAGGGGCTGTCGGTGCCATAGCTGCCAGGAAAGCACCTGGGGTGAGCGCAGTGCTGAGGGGCTGGCTGTCCCTGCTGCACCCCCGGGGCACTGTACTCACATTTTGTGCTCCACGTCATAACGGACGTCGCTTGGAGCATCACGGCCTGGCTCCCACTGCAGCAGGTGGTGCACCATCTCCGCCACAAAGCGCACACGCGTGGGCTTTAACCGCAGCTCACCTGCAGGACGGAGCCATCAGCTGAGGGCTCCCAGACAGGGCCACCTCACCTGGTCCACGGCCACAGAAACTCTGCTGGCCCCGAAGAGCCACAGGCTCAGTCCTGGCACAGGGATTTCCCCAGAACAATCCCAGGCTCCAGCATTTACTCATTCTGTTTCCCTTCCTCTCTCCTAAAGAGAGAGCCCAGGCAAGAGCACTTCACTTCTTTCCTCCCCCTTTTGTCTGCTCCCTCAAGTGCTGCTGCTTGCTAGCAAGCACTCTGTTTGGATTCAGCCTTCCTGTTTTGCTCATCTACTTGCTGGGGAAAAAAAATAGACTTTTTCACACCTCCTGCCTGAATTTCAGTATTGTAACCTGGCAGCAAAACACCACTCGATAACATCTGTCGCTCTCTCTGTGTTCGCTCCTCTCACCGCTGCTGTCAGCCAGCAAACACCGAGCACCGGAGCTGAGCTGCCACGGTGTGTGCTAATGACCAGGCACCAATAACACGAGGCCTCACAGCATGAACGCAATGTGATAAGCAAGGTCTGAGTGCTCAGAAGGATCTGAGTGCCCAAAAGGGTCTGAGTGCTCAGAAGGCTTCGGGTTCATAGATAAGGACAAGAGCAGGTGAGGGGCTGGTGTTCCAAAAGCACTCTGAAGCCACGGGGCCCCACCGCAACAACCCCATGTGCCGCTCCCCCCGAGTGCCTCCCCAGCTGCAGTCCCCAGTGCTGTGGGCTCAGGGTGGGGGTGAGGAGGAGCCCCCAGGGCAGGGCATGGGGCACTTACCATGTGCTGTCTGAGCGAGCAGCAGAGCCACGCACAGGACCAGGGCAGCGCAGAGGGCCATGTCGGATGCGCATCCTCCGCAGGTGCTGGGCTGGAGAGCCGGGTGCGCGCTGAGCCGGGCGGGCTGTGAGCGCTTGTTTTTCCCCCCGGAGGCTGGCTTAGTGACGTCTCGGAGGAGCTAGCGCAGTGGGAGGAAAGTAGCTGTGCTGTGACTTCCACTTTTCTTCGCTGTCCACCCACTCAGCACCGTTCAGCTCTCCGCGCAAGGTTGGGCATTTCCTGCCAGCAGCCCCAGGCGGGAGTGCTGGGGGCTTTTCCAAATAAACGGTACATTGCCAAGAAAGTGAAAATAGGAACAGGTCACGTGTCTGCCTCCCTGTTCGATTTGATTTTCAAAGCACAGCGCAGCAGCACCTTGACAACACATCACAGGGGCATCACTGAGCACAGCAGCAGTCCCACAGTCCCCCAGCGCCAATGTCCCACACCAAACAGGTCATGGCCAGTCCCACAGCCCGGGACTGCTGCTCCCTCCCTTCCCTACATCTCCTGGCTCCCATTCCCTGTTTCTGGGGGTGGGTGACCACCCCCTGCCTGCTGTGCACCTTGCGCACCCCGATGCATAAGGGTGGTCCAGGCAAGAGACAGGGCTCAGCTCTGGAGCGAGCCATGGGCTGTACCCAGGGCTATACTCTGCCTGGTGGCGACACTGGCCTGAGGGCCAAGGCTGAGCTGGCTTTGCTTTCCCTTCTGGCAGGCTGGACTACAGGAGAGCTTGAGGGCTTTCCTGGAGGCTATGCAAACCCGTGTGATGAAGTGTGATTTGTCTTGAGAAGAGGAATTTCCCGATGGGGAGCTGGTGGAAAGGTCACACATAAAAAGTACAAGAGAAACTGAGAGCATCTGGACACCACAAAGCCTCCGAGCAGTCTTGGTTCACAGAGCACAGGTCCTGGGCATGCTGCAGCACCCAGGGGCAGACAGGTCTCGGCAGGGAGGTGGCAGCAGCCCTGCTCCATGGCTGTGCCCAGCTAGGCTTTGTTTTCCTGGGTAGCAGCTGATGCTCCATCACCCTGCTGTCAGCCCTGAGTCACAGCTGGCAGGGACAGAATTTGGAAATGCTGAGATGAGGTGCAGCCCATCACACACAGCCCTTGTTTCATGTAAAGACATGAAAAACAAAAGCAGCGGGTCCAGAAATGAGGAAGGAGGGAACCTGCTGGAAAAGACAAACTGCGGTCCGTCATGTGGCTGGTGATTTAGGGGAAAACAAAACAGGCCGAGGAGAAAGGACCACAGCTGGAGGTTCATTCTGAAAGCCTCAGGAGCAGCGCAGCCACCCCAGCATTGCCAGGTACTGTGTTAGGGACAGCACTGCGGGGTGCAGACCTGGCACATGTGGGTGCTGCTGAGGATGCTCCTCCTGCTGCTGCTCTTCTATCCCCTCCAAAACACTGCTCGGCTGTGGCTGCTCCCCTACCTTCATCTCAAAGCATCTCGGGGAAACCACAGCTGAGCTCTGCGCTCACCCTGGGTGCTGCTGCCCACCGGAGCACAGCGATAAAACCAGAGAGAAAAGAGCAGACTTTCAGCCTTTCAACTCTTGCAGTGTTGGGTGGAGAGGTTTTGAGTTCATAGGTCAAATCAGCACTCAAAAGTACTGCTGAGTTTCTTTTTCATCTTCAAAACAATTGACTAAGCTTTGCATGGTGTTTTTACCAACCTGGAAAGCACCTGAGTCAGAGCAGCACCGCAGGTTTTCTCCAGAATCTGGTCCTGAGAGGGCATCCGCAGCACTGGGAGCAACAGGTGCCCCAGCTCCAATTCTGCTCTTTCTGCAAAGCCACCTACAGAGAGTGAGTTCCAGCAAGGCATCATTCCTGGAGCTGCAGAACTGCCTCCCGAGAGCTGCAGCTCAGAGGTGTCAGAGCCAGGGCACCGGGGGCAATGTTATTCCCTCTGCTTCACACCCTGCAGGGCATGGCAGCTGCAGAAAGCAGCCAAATGCTCTCAGTTCTGTGTGTGCAAACAGGAGAGGATGGTGCAGCATGCCAAGGGATGCTCAGAAACCCTAGAAATGAACGTCACCCATTGAGAAGTTTGTGTTGAAAGTGGACAGGGTGCAGGAAAAGGTCTGCTCCAGCAAGGCCTTGCTGGAGGAAAATGGGGAATGTAGTGTGCCCAGGAGCAGGGGGGCAGCCCTGGACAGGTGGAGGGATGGAGTTTCCCCACCCCAAGCTGGGGCAGTGAAATGAGGAGGGCTTTAGGTTGGCACCCTACAAGCTGAGATGTCCCTGCTTGTCCCTGCCATCTCTAAGAACAAAGATGACATCTCACATCCTTTCCAGTGACGTATTGTGACTCTGACCACTCTGACCCCACACACGAGTGTTTCTGCGTTGAGGGACATGGTTTAGTGAGTAGTACTGGTGATGGTGGATGGTTGAATTGGATGATCTTGAAGGTCTTTTCCAACCTTGGTGATTCTGTGACTCTGCGGGCTGTTGCTGGGGCATACACCCCCTGCCATCCCCATCCAGGACAGAACTGCGGGTGATCAAGCTGCAGCGAGGAGCTATTGGCAGCCCCAGTGCCTGGCTGCCCAGCTGGCACTCACTCTCCCCACGGCCAGCCCTCACCTCACCAGCCTTTATCCACAGCCACGTTCCTCCCAGGGCGCAGAGGCAGGTGTTTTGCACGCTGTGCCTGCAGCGGTTGGGAAACAGGCAGCGTGGAGCTGGGCGGCAGGTCCGACTGGTTTCCTCCGTGCTGGCACTGACGTACAAACCCGCTCACCAAACAGATCCTGCCCCGTCCCCGCGGACCTGACCTCGCTCCGCAGCAGGGAATGGCTGTGCCGGAGCTGTGATCCCAGCCCAGCCCCACAGCGGCCCATGGAAGGGAAAATCTCTCCGGTAAGGCATGGGCAGCAAATTGGGATCTGGAGCTGGCTGGGGTTTGTTCTGAGGCCTGTGTGAGTCACTTGTTTTGGATGTTTTAGGGCTGCTTTCTGCTTCCCTGCTCCCCTGGGCACTGAGTGCTGGTGGGGGAAGGACCGGGAGGCTCTGCCATGGGGATGTGGAGTGGGGAGGAGGAAGCTGAGTGCCACCAGCATCTTCAGCTCCATGCTGTCAGAGGGATGGCCTCTCAGCCCCACTGCTTTACCATGTTTGAGGGATCTGCGGCTCCGGTGGTTTTGCAAGGATGGAGGCCAGCTGAGGGCAGGCTACTAAGCACGGCAGGATGCTAGGACACCTGTGGGAGCCACGCTCTGCTGGGCTCCAGCATGCTGGCAGCACCGGCAGCACACAGGTGGCCCTGGCAGCCCTCCCTGACCCACTTTCTTGGTATTTTCCCCCCATTCTTTAGGGTCTGGGTTGCTCAGGGACGGCTCTCTGTCAGCTGTTGGGGCTCCCCAAGGTGCAGCGAGCATCCCGTCATGAGCAAAACATCTCCGGCTGTCACGGGGCTCAGCCCTCCCGGAAGAGGCAGTAATTACTGCGCTGACTGCGCCGTGATGTCCGCAGGGCTGCAGGGACGGGGCTGGAGAGGACATGGTAGTGGAATTGAAGGTGCCCCCAAGGCAGCCTGGGTTGGGGCTCGTTTCCATACGGGGCTGCCTGCAGCCCTGTCCTTTTTTGCAAGGCCCCGAGCTCTGCTTGCCTGCCTCCAGCACTGCTGTGCTGTGTGATCCCAGCTAACTGTGTCACCCAAAGCAGGGAGGAGCACCATGGTGACAGCGGGGCTGGGATTTGGATGCCTGCACACAGAGAATATTATTCAGTACTGGATATCCCCGCTGGGTCACCTGGATGTTGCTTGGATTATATGGGCCATCCCAGGTACCACCCTCACTTCAACTGTCTGTGCCTCAGTTTGCCCATCTCTGGAATTGACTGAGCAGTGCTTACTCAACCCCTGCACCAATTTCTGATCTCTGCCTGAAGGGCTCCTCACTCTGCTATATGGCAACCTGGCCCTGGCCCGATGGGGCTGACTCAATGCCTTGTCACCCACGCTTGCAAAATGTCCCTTGTGCACTTTAGGATTTTCACTTCCCTATGCTTGCCCCCTGTACAGCATCCGGCTCCCTGCGGCTGGGCTGAGCTGGGGGCTCAGATCTGGGCCAGCACTGCTGTGCACTTCATGGGAACGTGGGGCTGCATAGGGACTGCAGACACCTGCAGGCTCAGGAGGGCTCAATCCAGGGGCATGGGGACAATGTCGCCATTGTCAGCTCTCAGAGCTGGTCTGGCACAGGACCCAGCACTCTGCTGACAGGTGGAAGATGATTCCCTGCGCAACAGCAGTGAGCTTAGCTGAGAAAGATGATCTCCTGCCTGGGCAGCTCCTGCCGCTCGGTTAAGGCAGACTGCCTCCGGCCCCTCTCGCTGCTCTGATTTTCTGGGTGCTCTGATTTTCTGGGTGGCTGCTGCTCCTCCTGCTCCTCTGAGATGCTTCTGGGCCTCGGCTCCTGTTGCAACACCACAGGTGCCACCCGGCTTCTGCTCTCCCTCCCACTCCGAAACTGCCAGCAATTGCTCTGACTTCCCTCCCCATCCCACCTGGATCCAGCCCAGCTCCACGGTGCTGGGATTTTCCCTGGGGTTTGTGACCTCCTGGTGTGGATTTGTCAGCGTCATCACAGGCTGAGCTGAAGGTCAGTGCATGGGGTCTGGGCTGCAGTGTGGATGGGATGGGATGCCCAAAGATGCAATGCAGAGCTGAGCTGAGAAGGGTGAAGGTGTCGTCTGTGCCAACAGGGGTTGTGCTGCGGGTCCTCTGCTCCCTGCAGCTCAGGCTTTGCCTGTGCCAAAGAAGTCACTGATCCCCGCATGCTTACATGACTTCTAGGCTTAACCCCACAGCAATGCTAAATGCTCTCACGGCAGGTGGAACATTTGCGGAAAGGACGACAGAAAAATGGCTCAAACCACAGCCACATGTGTGAGAGAGTCATTGCTCTGAGTCTGACTGCTGTTCAAAAGCTGACAGAGTAAAGGCTTTGTGGCCACGAGTGGTAGCTTCTGGCAGAAACACCATCCCTGTAAAGCTGCTGCTGTTTGCTCTCTGCTCCTGCGGTCACCCAACAGTAACTAGTTGTGCTGGTTGCTGGGCACCGTGATAAAGGGTTGGTTAGCGCCTGCGATAGAGCTTAAAACAATGTTTGGACTTTAGACTTTTGAGGAAATGGGTAACTAATAGTCCAACAGTATAAGAAAGGCCACGTGCTTTCTGCAAAGCAAGAGCAATTTAACCAATAGTGTTATGTAGATATTTGTGTGAGACGTTTGTAACCCAGAGCTGGAGATGCTTTCGCATGCCTGAAGTGGGGCTGCTCTGCAGTGCTTCGCTGATGCTTGGCTTTAGCTGATCTGATAAGTGAAACATTCCTCTCCCCACAGGATGGGTTCAAAGAGAGATAGCAGACATGGTGATAGCTTGCAGATACTCAACTAACACAATTGGCACTGGCATTTAGCAGAGCTTCATCTGTGTGGGAGGAACTTTGCCTGGGAAAGGTCTCAGGTTTCCGCTGTGGGTCAGGGCAGTGGTGGGTGATGCTGTGGGGTGGGAGGTGGCTCCTGGTGGGAAGGAGATGTCAGCAGTGCTGCGTTGAGCACCCTGGGTGCTGTGCCTGGGCTCAGAGGGTTTTCCCCTCACATGGGGCTCCCAATCCATGGCAGACCCTGTGCGTGGCCACACCAGGTGTGTGACTCAGGGGATAATGCCCAGGAAGTGACACTGCTGCATTGCACGAAAGGGCACAGCCATGTTTACAAAGCACGAGCCTGAGCAGGATCCTGATGTGCTCATTAGGGCCCTGGGCTGCCAGCAGGAAGCACGAGGGCAGGGAGAATCCAGGTGGAAGGGGCAGTGTGGAAGCAGTGCCCAGAGCTCTGACAGCACTGTGCTGTCCCCAAGCTGTGCCCTGCACCCAGGTGCTCCCAGTGATGGAGAAATGTGAGCCCAGCAGCTGCAGGGCTGTGAAGGGATGTGCTAAATCCCAGCTCCTGATGGGCACAGCAGTCCCCTGGAGGTGATCCTGTGCTGCCAATGGATGCACGCTCCTCTGTTGATGGTGCAGTGGTGATGCTGTATGTAGGGATGCAGTCAAAGTTCTGCCTGGCATTAGTTGGTGGGTGGCTTCACTGAGCAGCACAGTGCAAGCTGAGGGAACTGGAACCAGGAGGGGAGGAGAACCTGCTGGGAGCAGTGCACAGCCTCCAGAAGGCACACGGTCAGTTCTCATTGCCAAAGAGGTTTGAGATTTTGCAAATGAAATGACAATGGCAGAGGAAAAGACTTTTCTTGCGGGCTGTGTGCATGTGAGGTCTCTGCTTCATAGGAAAATGAGAGGCTTTGCTTGAGGAGCTGGTCAAAGCTGGGGAAGCATTGGGGGAGAGTATCTGGGGGAACGGAAACAAATACATATTCTTCTGCAAATTCACAGGTCAGGAGTGACATAACTGCAGAACAGCATTCCAGGCTGCAGGATGTTTCAGGGCTTGGAAAACACTGATTATTAAGTATTACTAAATAACAGTTGGACATTGCGCTGTATTTTTCAAATGGCTAATTAAAGATAGATGCATAAATTGGGGCATTAGCCCCATGGAACTGGGCCATGGTGTGGCTGATGCCAAACACCCGGCTGATGGCTCTGATGGAAGCCATCTGGAAAATTTGCCCAGCAGCCTCCAAATAGGGAGAAACTTTCTGGCAAAGAGGCTTTCAGCTGTGCCAGCAGGGTGCTGAGAGCTTTGCGTCGGGCAGTGAGTGATGGCCGCTGTCATAACACAGCCCTCTGCTCACACAGACCACGGCATCGCCCAGCTCCCTCCATGCCTCCACAGCCAGCAGCATCTTCAGCATCCGGCCCCCGCAGCCTCGGGAGAACGTCCTCGGCATCAGCTTCAAGCCCTACAGCCCCGATTCCATCCCGGCCCCGGTCCCGTGCGCAGCCTGTGAGAGCACACGTAAGATGATGGTGGTTTGTGCTCTGGGTTCAGCCCAGTCCTGGTCTCTCCCGCAGAAGTGATGGAAGGAGAAAATGCACCCGTGTGCTCGCTGCTGGCGTAAGGGTGGGATTTCCTGGCGGTGTGAGGGGAGAGCGGCACACGCTCAAGTCCAGGACGGGGTCTGGGTGCCTCGAGGAGGCTGCGCTCCCCCTGACTCTGCCCCGTCCCGCTGCCAGGATCCTCCATGTTCAGAGCTCCCTGCATGAGCCAGCGGCGGCTCGCGCTCATCTTCTGCGTCTCCGTCCTCATCGTGCTGATCGTCGCCCTCATCCTGCTGTGTGAGTGCCGGCTTCATCCCCGCTGCGTGAGCGCTGGGTGGGGGGCCAGCGGGCTGGGAGGACGGCTGCCGGGCCGGCACCCTGCAGGGGAGGGCCGGGAGGCGGAGCAGAGATGAGCGCTTCCCATTTTCTGAGTTTTCCTGACATCTGGTGGACGGGAGGGCGCAGGGAGATGCTTGGTGCCTCCAGCCCTGCCCTGGCTCCGCGGCCCTTCGGGATCCAAACCCTGCAGTCAAGCTGCTGAGGGCGGGAATGGGAGGCGCTCGTGGCAGACCTCTGGACCCAGCCTCACCGCAGCTCGCGCTCGTCCCCAGTTATGTTCTGGCGGTCGCAGACCGGCATCGTGTACAAGGAGCCCGCCGAGACCTGCAAGGACAACCCCGTGCGCTGTGACGGCGTGGTGGACTGCTCCCAGAGGAGCGATGAGCTGGGCTGCGGTAAGGCAGCAGCACCGGGAGCGCCGTGCCCGGGCGGGGGGAGCCCCGCAGCGCCGGGTGCTGCTGACCCCCCTCCATCCCTGCAGTGCGGTTCAGCTCCGACCAGTCCTTGCTCCACGTTTACTCCAGTGCTGAGAGCCAGTGGCTGCCGGTGTGCAGCAGCACCTGGGACGAGTCCTTCTCTAGAAAGACCTGCCGGCAGCTGGGCTTCCAGAAGTAATCCTTCCTGCCCCGATCTTTGCCCCAGCGTTGCAGGTTTACCCTGGGGAGGCTTTGCCCAACACTTTTGTCTCACCTCCTTTCTCCCAGCGCGTCGCAGACAGAATACATCCCCCTGCACATCTCTGGCAAGAGCCTCACGGTGACGGATGAGCGGGACACCATCCAGCAGAGCCTCAACAGGTAGCAGGCAGCCCCCTGCCACCCAAGCTGGAGGTCAGGCTGGGGCTGACGTGTGTCCTTCTCTTCTCTCCCACAGCTCCCAGTGTCTGACAGGGAAATTCGTCTCCCTGCGGTGTACAAGTAAGCGGGCTGTCCAGCAAGGCATGAGGACGAGGGCAGGCAAGGCCAAGCAAATGCTTGGAAGGGTTTTCTTCCCATCTTTGTGATGGGTTGGGCAAAGAGGGTGTTCTCCAGCAGAATATTCTGGGTAATACAAAGCAATGAAGGTTGCAGCCCCATGCAGGCTGCGCTGAGCACTGCTGGTGACTGCAGTGGTGGGGATGTGCTGTGCACACCCTCTTGGCTTACCCCCTCTCTCAGCCCTCTGCTCTCTCCTGCAGCATGTGGGCAGAGGATTTCAGGCCGAATCATCGGAGGGAAGGAAACCTCGGTGAGCAAATGGCCCTGGCAGGTCAGCGTGCAGTACGGGCCCGTCCACATCTGCGGCGGCACCATCATCGATGCGCAGTGGGTGCTCACCGCCGCGCACTGCTTCTTCATGTGAGTGCTGCTCTGCGTTCAGCAGCCCTGGTGCTGGGCATGGCTGTGTGTCTCACCCCCACTGCCTCCCCCTCCATGCCCAGGAACAGCATGAAGATCCTTGATGACTGGAAGGTGTACGGCGGGGTGTCAGACCTCAAGCAGCCCATGGAGGGCATCCCCGTCTCCCAGGTCATCATCAACTCCAACTACAGCGATGACCACGATGACTATGACATTGCTCTCATGAAGCTCTCCCGACCGCTGACGCTCTCAGGTGGCAGGACTGGGTGGGTGGGGGTGGTCCTGGGGGCTGTGGAACCCCACGGGGTCAGCTCAGAGGGGAGCGCTTCCAGCAGCCCATGCTCCGCCCTGGCTGCAGGGCGGGTGACTGTGCTGTTGTTCTGCTGGTGAGTGACTCATCTCTCTCTTCTGGTTTTCATCCAGCTCAGGTTCGACCTGCCTGCCTCCCCATGCACGGCCAGCGGTTCCAGACCGGCAGGTCCTGCTTCATCACCGGCTTTGGGAAGACCAGGGAGAACGAAGGTGAGGGAGGGAGGGAGGGAGGGAGGGAGGGAGGGAGGGAGGGAGGATGCCGGCTGCTCCAGAGTTCATGCACACCCCACGTGCGTGTTCCTGTGGGGTGTGTGAGGGCCGTGCCATGCAGAGCTGACACACAGCAGGCGCTCTCCTGCCCGTGCAGCTCTGCAGAAGGTGTGCGAGAAGCAGCAGCTTGCTCCCTCCTACAGCGGGGGGCCGAGGCTGGCCCTGCCCGACGGCTCCTCCTGCCTTGCAGATAACACCTCCCCAAAGCTGAGGGAGGCAGAAGTCAAACTCATCGACTACAAGATCTGCAACAGTGACAAGGTGTACGAGGGCTACCTGACCCCGCGCATGATGTGCGCTGGGTACCTGCAGGGGGGGAAGGATGCATGCCAGGTGAGTGGGGCAGGGCGTGCCTGGGGACACGCAGGGATGCCCTCTGCTTGCTCTCATTACCACTTTGCCCCTCCGTTCCAGGGGGACAGCGGGGGGCCCCTGGTGTGTGAGGACAACGGCCGCTGGTATGTGGCTGGCGTGACGAGCTGGGGGACGGGATGCGGCCAGAAGAACAAGCCTGGGGTTTACACGCGTGTGACGAAACTCCTTGGCTGGATCTACAGCAAAATGGAGGTGAGACTGGGGCATGGAGGGAGAGGAGTGGGTCCAACCTGGCCCCATGCCTCACCTCTACCCCTGCTATCTACCCCTTGCAGAGCGAGAACAACTGAAGCCAGGCTGGAACCTGTGCAGCAGCACCGGCTGGCACCGGCCCCTCGCTCCTCCTGTCACCAGGGCACGGTGTATCAGCTGCTGTCCCTGCTCCTCCGGGCTGCCCATGCAATTGGGGACCTGCAGCTGCCTGGACTGCGCCAACGCAGCACCTGCAGAACACCTCTGTCCTGCTGAGGACATGGAGATGTCTCTGTCCGGGCCTCAGTCTGTGCTGAATGTGCCCACTTGGAGCTGCCGTCTCAGCTGTGGCCCCTGGCCTGCAAACAGAGTTGCCAGGACCATGTGTCCTTGAATGTGGGCACAGCCAGAAGATGTGGGGCTGCTGCCCATCCCTGCAACTGAGAGCCAGGAGCAGAAAGCTGCAGGTGCCTGTGGTGAGTGAGCCCCTTCCTCTGCTCGCTGCGGGGACAGCCGAGCAAAGGGGAGCCCCATGGGGCAGCTGAAGCACCTGCTGGGAGGAGGAACGGTGGTTGCTCTCACATTTGCATATGGATTTAGGAAGTGTCTTTCAAATGAAGTGCTTCCCCAGCAGAGAAACACCCATTTATTTATTTTTGTATGCCCTGGAAGCACACACTGCTGGGACTTTGCGCAGCCACTCTCAGCTCCCTGCCTGCCCTGTTGGGCAGCAGCGCAGGGCTGTTCTACTCCTGTGGGCAGCAGGGCCATTCTGTGACACGTGACAGAAGCCAGCAGCAGATATAGAGTAGCACCCAGCCCCATGTTAGCCCCAGCATCTCCCAGCTCCATGGCCAGTGCCAGGTGCTGGATTTGTCTCAGCGCTGCACGCAGTCCATAGAGGACGCACAGATGTCTCAGAGCAGACGTGTCAAGGTGTGTGCACGCTGGATGGAGGCAGGCTGCTGCTCTGCTGAGGCTGTACCCGGAGCTGCAGGGGGTCCTGGTGCTCCTGGGTGCCCCACACTGTTCTCAATAAATGTTTCAGTAGTGCTCTGTTGGAGATGGTTCTTTGGGAGCCGCTGAGCCCCAGGAGCTGGGAGCCCTGTGATGAGCAGATGCCTCTGCAGCATCCCCAGCTGTGGGGGCTGAAGCTCTTAGCCAGGGCTCAGCAGCACTCTCTGAAATAGGCTGCCCTGCATCCCTCCCAGAGCCCTGCCTCTCCTTCCTGACCCCCAATAGAGGTGCTGCAGCACATCCCACAGGGCTCCCTGACTGCTGTACATGCAGGTGTGCAGACAGGGCTCCCTCTGGGCTGGGCTGCCTGTTTCCTAACCCACAGCGCTGCCACTGGGACTCGGGCAACAAGTGACCCTTTGTGAGGGGGGAAGGCTCTGGAAGTTTCTGGATGTTGCTCTCCCCAGCTGTGTGCAGGCAGCACCTGCAAAGCTGATGATGCACGGGCTGCTGCAGGCAACTTGCTGCCCCACCTCACTTCCCAGAGCCCGCTGTATGAAAAAGGCCATGGTTTGCCATTGAATTTTGGGATAGCAGCTCTGCTCTGGCTGTAGAAAGGACTCTCAGACCAGAGCTGTGGGCCAGGTGGTGCTCGGCGGCTGCTCTCCACAATGTGATCAGCTGCCTTTTGGGAAGCACTGAGTCAGCCCGACCTCAAGGAGCTTTTCTAAGAAGCTTTGCAGAAACCTCCCACGGCTGTGAGCCTCCTTCAAAGGGAGCGTGTGGGGGCCAAGGGATGGTTTGGTTTCTCTTTACAACGTCTCTGAAGCTCAGGAAGGGGAGGGACCTGCAGAACCTGGTGATTTGGGTTCCCTGGGCTGGGCAGGGTGTGCACGGTGTGCGTGGAGCTGGAGCTGCCGCGTTGCATCCAACAGCTGCTGCTGTTTGGATAGCACTGAAAACCACAGTTAAAACCACAGCTAAAAACAGAGGCTGGGGAAAAAATGCTCCTTTTTCGGTCTTTGCTGGCTGTAGGTTATGGAAAGCAGTGGTTTTTCATGACAGATGAGATGGGATTGGAGTAGGGCCCCCGCATGACTCCCCTGTTTAATGCAGGGAATTCAATGGGTTTTGAGTTACAGATCCGGCACGCATTTGTACAAAGGCTCTCTGGGATCTCTGTGTTCCTCAGAGTGTGCAGCCCATAATGTTTTATTGCCACCTGAGACGGCGTCCTGGAGAAACAGATCTTTTGAAAAAGAAAAACAAAAATTGGAGGCCAATAAGGGCTGATCTTTTTGGAACTGTATTCCTGGTAATGGGGCCATTTCAGTGCGCAGAGGAACTGCACCTCTGCTATGGATTTCATCTCCTCGCAGGTTATTGCTCTCCTGCTCTCTGAAATAGCCTCTCAAAGCAGAGAAGTGATTGCAGACCCTAATACAAATTTAATTTATTTCTTCCAAACCTGACAGCCAGTGGTCCAAGCTCCAGAAAGCTGTGCTGTTTTCCCCCAAGGGCTGAAGTTTTCTAACCAGATTAAAAGTGATTAGTTTCTCATGCAGCTGCCTGGCTGTGGCTTTTATGCTCTGCTCTTCCCAGTGAAAACACAGCTCAGATGCAGCAGATGCTGTGGGCACAGCGTCACCTCCAGCACTGGGACACCTGAGCAAAGCAGCCCTGCTCCCAGCTGGCACAGGGCAGTGGGTGAAACATCTCATGCCCTGCTTTGGGATGATCCCATTCATTTTGCTGTTTTTCTGGGAGCCCCCGGCTCTTCTGCTGCTGCCCTTCTGCTCTCAGCACTGTTTGCTCCTCTCTGTCTTCCAGCCCACATCTGGCCAGGCTGCTTCCACATTCCTCTGCGCTTTGAAAATCATCCCCCAGGAATGGAGATTACAAAAACACAGCCTGACCGGCACCATATGAATCACCACCCAATTAGTGCTGTTTTTCCCAAACTTTCCTTTTAGAGCTTTCTGTTTAGTTGTGTCAAAATGGATTTGTTTATGTGGTTTCAGAGGTGATGTTTCTTCTCAAAAATGTTTTTCCCATAGCTTTGGATTGGTTCCCTCCCACGGTTGGCATCATCTCTTGGCACGGCATCGCCGAACTTCAGCTTGGGCAATACAGAGCTGCTGTTGAACACAGGCTTTGCCAGCTTTAATGCAGCCTGCTGCCTCCTTGGTTCCTCCCAAGCACAAGGAACGGCTTAGGCCCAATGAAAGAGGATGTTACTGGGTTAAAAGCAGCCATGTGGCTCTGCACAGCCTTCCCCTTTGTCGCTGCTCAGCTCTCCAGTGGCCCCGAGCAGGATCAGGAAGAGTTTGCAAATGTTTTCAGGCTTGGTGTTAGGAAGCAGGGAGGTCTGATGGCTCTGCTCTGAGCTTGGGGTGTGGACAGAACCCTCCCCTTCCTCCAGCACTGCCAGGCAGCTCCAGCCATGTCCCAATCCCCCGCAAACCAGGGTTAAGTTCTCAGACCACAGCAAACTGCTTTGCTCTGAGGCTCCTGGGACGGGATGCCTGCTGCCTGCCCAGAGCCTCAGCACAGCTAAAATTAACACAGGGCTGCTGGGAAAAGACACACAGCGTGCAGGGCTGTGGGCGGCAAAGCGGGGAGCGCTGCTGGGGGGCCGCATTTTGGGGCAGTGCTGCTCAGTGACAGCGCTTTGCAAGCAAGGAAAGTCTGAGCTCATGGGGAATGCGTGGCACTGAGGCCCCATTGTACGCTGTTAAACCGAAGGCCAGCTGCATGCGGGGCTCCCAGCTGCTCTGCTGCCCCTTCCCACAGCTCCCACGTCCGTCCTGGGCTGCTGACCCATGCTGCATCACAGATGAAACATCAGCGCCGTCACTCGGAGCGTTGTCTGCATGAGATGGAGAAATGGCCAAAACCCTGAGAAGGATCTTCAATCAGAGGGGAAAGTTCAAGAGACCAAGTGGCTCCTTCCTGCTCTATGGGAGGACGCCCGCTTGTGCTGCTCCCTTCCGATGTTCCCTGCTGAGATGAAGTCATGTCCTTGTGGAGCTGCTGACACTGCTCTGCTGACTCCAACAGCACCAGGAGCTCAGCTCAGCTCTGCCCCTTCGTTACCATAAATCAGCATAGCCTCCCCTGCACTGACAAAAGGGTCGACCCCAAAGAAGTCGTTGCTCCCCCAGACTCTCCGGCTCCGTGAGCACTCTTGCTGCTACAGCCAGAGGAGCTGCTCATGTGCACAACGCTCTCATATCACCTGAGTTTAGGCAGCAAAAAGCCTATGGTGCCAATTTTTAATTGTGCTCACTTTGGACAATGCTTTGAGTATTTCTGGAATAAAGAAACCCAGTGAAGGAGAAAGCACAGAAGCCCAGTGCTGTGGGAGCTGCAGCCTGCCTGCATCTCTCAGCCGATGCAAACACCTCCACAGATACCCACCAGCCTCAGCGCAGCCCCCAGGCACAGCCATGGCATCCAAATATTTCACTGTGTGCAAAGGATAACAGCTGAGGGCTGCAGAAAGTCAGAGGAGCCCCAAACCTGATTATGGCCGCTTGGTCCCTGCCCCACTTACCACAGCGTGATGGAGAGCCTTGTCATGTTATCCCAATGCATTAGGAGATGTGATGTTGTCCAGCTCCTCTGTGCCGGCCTCTATCTCTTGACCCTTCTGTGTAATTGCCTTGAAATGCTGGGACTGCTTTTATATTTTACTGGAAACTGGAAAATTAATGCAAAGTGGAATATATGCCATTACTGTCAGTAAGGCTGGTATCTGTCCAAGATGCATTTGAGTTATTAGGGGACGAACCGCGTCACCGCTGATAGCGCCGCCGAGGTGTTCTGCCACGAGGAAATGGCTCTCCAGGGCAGCAGCAGCAGGAGCGGAGCAGACACGGGCGTGCCGGCCGCCCAGCGGTGCCAGCATCCCGCCCGCACCTCCCACCCCATTCCCGCAGCGGGGAGAGAAGGCAAAGCCTCCGCCCTCCCTCACGCCCACCCCCCGCACAAAGCCCCGCGGGACCCCCGCCCCGAAGCTCTCGGCCGCTCCGTCCCCGCTCGCAGCCCGGCCCTCGGCGGGGCTCCCGGAGGGGTGGGGGCCGATTCTTCGCAGCCCCCGCCCCGGGCTCCCCCCGCCGCCGCCCCTCCCGACGGCAGGCACCGCCCGCCCGGCCCGCCCCGCTCGCTTTGTGCGGCTCCCTGCTCGCCGCGCTCGCCGCCCGCCCGGCTCCTGCTCGGCACCGCCCGGCTCGGCTCGGCTCAGCACGCCCGGAGCAGCGGGGAGCGCCGGCCCCGGCCCCGCTCCACCCGGCTCTGCCCTGCGCTGCCCCGCTCCGGCCCGGAGAGCTCAGGTGGGTGCGGCGGGCGCGGCCCGGATGGTGGGGAGGGGGCCGTCCTGCGTGGCCGCGGGCCGCTCCTCCCGAGCCGTACCCCGGGATCCGCCGTGCCGTCGGGGCGCTGCCCGATGGGTGCCCGGGGCATCGCCCCTCGCCTCGAGGCCGCCCGCATCCCCGGCCTGGCGGCTGCCATGGCAACGCCGGGTACCATGGTTTCCCTCATCCCACCGTTGCCTGGTTACCAGCCCCCCGTGCTGGGAAGACGCTCGGGCGGATCTCCCGTCTCCCACCGTGGGGGGACTTGGGCTGTCCCTGCTCGCTGTGCCCCGTGCAGCCGTCGAGGAAAAAGGAGGCGGCTGCTCCTCGCCAAATATTTGGCAACGTTCAGGCTCATGTTGTTAAATATTTTAGTAACGCCGTGGCAATACATAAACAGTTGAGTGCTTTATATCCTGGGAAGGCAGACGAGAGGAAAGGAAGAGCGTGTCTCCGGGTGTGTAATTAGTGCTTCCCGAAGAAACAGATATCAGAGTCCATGTGGCGGAACTCGGATCTTGCAGAAATATTTCTGTGGGAGGGAAAGTGACAGGTGGTTTGTGTGGATGTGAATAAGCTCTGCAGCGTGAAGGAGCAGCCCTGTGGGAACAGCTACACGTGCATGGCAGCACGCAGCCGTCCCCTGCACCCATCGGGATTTTCAGCCCCACCGAGTGATTTTGCTCTGGTTGCAATGAAGAGAAGTCCAAGGAACTGCCCATGTGTTGGGTGGCAACATGAGGCGGGGTGACGGGGAGTGCTGCCAGCAGAAAGTGCAGTCGCTGCAGAGCAGGGCCACCTGTTGCAGTCGCCTTGCCAGGAAACACCCCGTCCCGGCCAGGCGCGGGGCTGCCTGCTGCTGCCCCTCGTGTTGCTCGTGTTCCACGTGCGTGTTTTAATTTTAGTTCCCTTCTCGTTTGCGGAGAGTCACGCTTTTGTCAGGAGTTCAGACTTCAGCATGGAGGAAGTCTGCACGTACTCCATGCTGCAGTGAGCTGGGAGCTCTACACGGAGCTGTGTTCTCTGTTTGCCTTTCGGGAGCTTGGAGTGATTCTGGGCTGTAAAGGAGCCTCCGAGCTTTGCAGCTGTTGTGCACACCGCTGTGGAGACATCCCGTGCCTGCAGTCCCTCCTCACAGCCTGTCAGCACTGGCACAAGGCACAGGGACCTGTGCTTGGTACCTGGCTGTCCGCACACAGTGAGCAGAGCCCAGGATTTGGCTGAGGTGCAGTGAGAGCTGCGGAGTGCTGGGTGTGCTTCAGACTGGTGTGTTTGCAAATTTCAGCTCCACGGCACCTGGTTATCTGTTAAGCAAATGAGCAGAGAACAAGCTGGGGGAGGTGGCTGTGGGTTTCTGGGTGCTTCAGGGCTGGGTGAAACCCTGCAGGTGGCAAGCTTGGTGAGAGAGCACAGGGTGTGGGCTGTCTGCAGTGATCCCCTGTGACCATGTGCTCCTGTGAGCATCCAGAAGGTCAGGGCTGGTCTATGGGGTCTGCATAAGTCTGTTCCTCGGGATCTCAGAGAGGGTTTCCTTTGAATATTCCCTGCTTTGGGGAGATATGCACAAGAGACAGCTTGATGTTAGGCAGGTCGGTTTTGTCTTCCACCCGGCCAACCTCTGAATCATCACCAAATTTGGGAAGTGATGTCCATGTTGGAGCGGTGGGGGCTGGAAATCCTCCTTCCTCTCATTTAGGAAGAAGAGGCATGACAGGCACATTTATAGCCAGATTGATGCTGACGTGAGATGGCAGAAGAGCACATCTATGCGTAGCTGGAAATGTCCCTTCACACATGCACACTCCTAAATGCTTCAGGCAACTGAGCACTGCTGTCATGGTCTTGGGGCTTTGCACAGAAACTGGAGATTTTAACTAGGTCTGATCTCCAGGAGATGCCCCCAGGGCTCTTGACGGAGGGAGGCTGCCCAGCATTGGGCGGTGATGGCTGAGACTTGACAGGGCTGATCTATGCAAAACAATGAAAAGGGAAAGGGTGCTTCAAGACTGGAGACCATTACAAATGTACCTGCCTTGCCCTGGCAGGGCTTCAGAGAGCTCCTCAGTGAGCTGGGTCTTTCTGCCGGGGATTTCCCCACTCTCCTGTCTCCCCAGCTACACCCTGCCTTCGTATCCCACTGGGTGCTGTGGGAGCACCTTGGCTCTTGCCCAGGAGCAGGCAGAGCCCGGCTCCTTGTTGCTGGAGCCCTGCAGGGTATGGGTGCTGAGCCCCCTGCCTGCCTGCCTCAGACACCCTGGGGTGGGTATGGGGTGGTGATGGGGGGGCAAGGATTGGTATTCCCTGTTAAAACGGCTGTTAAAACGGCTGACCCACGGCGATGGTGCAGGAGAGCCCTGCGTGCCACTGCCCCGCTTCCTGTGCTGCTCTTTGTTATGGCAGATCCATCCGTTTTAACAGGAAAAAAAAACAAAACCAACACATGTTTTGATTCAAGTCACGTGCCCAGCGCTCTGCACTCCCCTACATGGAGGTTTACACGGTTGCACGGCTCGGTGATCAGCAGCTTAACACCAGTGCTGGGGGGGACGGATTGGTCCCCATTGCTCAGTGGCCGTGCTGTGTGCAGGACGCTGCTGGGTCTGGTGTGAATGGAGGGCAGTGGGCAGCAGCTTCAGCCCTGACCGCTTCAAGCTGATGGTGCAGGCGGGGAGGAAGGCAAACCCCGTGCAGTGTTTGCTCTTCTCACTTTACTTCAGCTTCACAAAGAAGTGGGTGGGCCAGCTTGAAAAGAACCCAAAAACCTGGGATGATTTGCAAAGCATATGCTTCCTTGGAGGAGAAACGGGCTCATCTGCACTCCAGAATGTGGTGTTTGTTTTCCCAGCGAGGCCACTGCCAATCCTGGTGGTTAACGTGTGCGGAGCAATGTTGTGCTGTGCAGAAGTGTGTGAATTTCCAGAAGGGAGTTAGGAAAACAAAGAACATATGTGTGCTGTGTGCTTGGCTTGGCGAAAAGCTGAACTCTGCCATGCTCGAGAAGCCCAAAAGTGAGCAGAGGGCTGAGAGTAGCACACACAGTGCCTGTGTGGGGGTCTGCACCACGTCCATGTGCCCCCAGCAGCCTCCTGTTGGGTAATGCCACTGATTTGGCACCGTCTGCCTACACTGAAAATAGATAGAGGCCATGAGACAAAGGACACGGGGAAATGTGCAACTAGAAGTTACTGTATCACCAGCTGCTGGGCTCTTTGTGCACACTTCTAAAACCTGATAATTATCCAGAGTTACGTGCCTGAGCAAACGAGGGAGCTGCCTGGGCAGCGGCGTGGCAGTGAGGCCTGTGCTGCACAAAGGCAGCGGCAGCTGCAGGAGGGGGAAATTAAACCCTCCGGCGTTCGGATGAAGCGCATTTGCTTCCAAATGACAGGACGTGAGAAGGGAGGGAAGGACGCGAGTTGTCATGGGATGTGACTGGGAATGGTGAATTAATGAGGCTGTGGAAACGTGGGTCCCTGCCCTGACTTCTTGGGGTTGGCTCTGGGCGCCGTTTCTGGGCATACAACTGCTCCACTTGGGGATCTGGGGGCCCTGTGCCCACACCTCCCCGTCTCTGGAACAGAGGTTGTCCCTAAAGCAGGTCAGGCTCCACAGGGCTGCATAGCCCGATGCCAGGGATCCGCATCCCTTGAATTCCTGCTCTGCTGTGGGCCCCTCTCCTGTCGGCGCTCATCCAGCACAGCAGCTGCGGTGCCTCTGCGGCACGGTGCTATCGGGGCTGTGCAGGGTTGATAACCCCTTCCTGCAGCTAGCTGCTCTCTGCACCATGTATGGCCACCGAGCCCACACTGTGTGCCCAGAGCTGGCACCTGGCCCACCCGGCGCTGGGGGTGTCCCCTGCTCTGTGCCCCCAGTGCGTAGCATGGTGCCACCTCTTTGCTTTGCCCCCAGGAGTGTCTCTACTGCTCCCCGATGGAAACAAAGATAGGTAGGGCTGCACTGCTGGCTGCTTGGGGACTGCCTGGCAGCAACGGGACACAAGCAAGCAGCGTGCTGTGGGGTTAGGGTCAGCGTCAGACGTACCTCAGCACTCCCAGTCCCTCGGAGGAGCCGCATCCACAGAGCTGAGGCTGCAGCGGTGCTCAGGGTGCAGGATCCCCAGTGTCCCTGTGGAGGTGTGGGAGCAGGAGCCCTGTGCAGCTCCTTGCTGTGCTCTGCACCTCCCAGCCCTGTAAGGGACGGGGACAAGCTCGTCTGTCACCAGGAGCCGGGGTTATTCATAGTACCTCCTTGCTGCTGCAGGTGAGTGGGGGGGGAGAGGGTGGCAAGTGCAGCCACTAGTGCCAGGGTCACAGGCCTCATCGTGAGAATGTAATTGCTATGCTAACTGGGACAAATTAAAGCATGCTCTGGGTGAAGGACGCAGCGTTGACCTTGATGGAGCATTGCAGCCCTCACACTCACCCCATTCCATGTGGCACCACCCTGAGGCTGAGCTGACATCAGCCAGGAGTGGAGCCGGCACCCCTGGGGTTCTGTTCTGGCCCTGGCAGCACAGAGGCAACTCACAGCACCACACGAAGCTCAGCTTACCACTCCCACCCTACTGGCACATTCTTTGCACCTGCTAGGTGTGAAATGCTGCAGGGTTATGGGCACCAGGCATCAGGGTGGGCAATACGATGGTCGCGTCAGGCAATGGGTCCGGGTCTGGTGATGACACCAAGCATTGGGGTTGGGGTATGGTGATGGCAACAGGCATCAGGGCTGGGTACGGTGATGGTGCCAGCTGGTGGGGCTGGGTATGGTGTTGGCACCAAGCATTGGGGTTGAGGTATGGTGATGACACCAGGCATAGGAACTGTGGTATGGTGGTGGTATCAGACATCACAACTGGGGTTGCTGGGGCTTTGTCACCCTTCCCATTCCTGTGTGATGGGCAGCCCTCCCCATGTCCCCATCACTGGGCACTGACCCTGCTCCTCCCTCTCGCTTGCAGCCATGGAGGCGGTGCTGATCGTCCTGTGCTCCCTGCTGGTGTCGGCAGCTGCGGCGGATGGTGGGTACGGTGCTTCTGTGCACAGCAGCCTGCAGGGGCAATCCCCTCCCTGGGCAGAGAGGGTGGAATTTTTCACCCTTCAGTATGCTCACATTACATCCTTTGTCTGCTTATTTCCAGTGGGCACCCAAGAGAAGGAGGAAGACCCCTTTAACTATGGTGAGTGTTGCTGTGCATGTGCAGTGAGGAGCAGAAGATGCTCCCCTTCCCTGAGCCCAGCAGAAACGTGTCTCTCTCCTTTCCACAGATTACCAAAGCCTGCGGATTGGTGGGCTGGTGTTTGCTGTGGTCCTGTTCACTGTCGGCATCCTTCTCATACTCAGTGAGTTGGGGTGCAGTGCTCAGGGGCTGGGCTGGGGCAGCCATCAGGAAAAGCCATGGCTTATTCCCACACTCATGGTATTTTTGTCCCCTTGCAGGCAGGAGGTGCAGGTGCAGTTTTCACCAGAAGCCCAGGTGAGTGTGATGCTCTGCTGCACAGCCCTGGGTGCTCATGCCACTGGAAGCACCTTCCTCTGTGTGCCTTGCATGCTGCAGCCAGTGCCAGCTGCTCTCACTGTGCTCTTCTCCTTGCAGAGCTCCGGGGGATGAAGAGGCTCAGGGTGAGAACCTGATCACCTCAAATGGTAAGGCTGCCTTGTGCCATGTGTGCTGGATAGGAGAATGCCTTTGCTCAGGCTCTGCAAACTGCTCTGCTCTTCTCTTTACAGCAACGGGAGCGCAGAAAGCAGAGAACTGAACCAGAGCCATGCAGTGAGTCCCAGCGCGGGTGCTGGGGAAGAAGGGAGGGCGATCTGGGGCTGTGCACAAGGGCAGCTATGGGGCCCCTACTCTGAGCAGCTCTGTGTCCTCAGCATGGTGCTGCGGCTGGGGCAAGGCACTGTGCAGTGCTGGCGAGCCCTGAGCTCTGCAAGCCCTGGGCAGCACAGCAGGAAAGGGAAGCATCTGTCCGGATTTTCCCCTGGGGTACACTCCCTTTCCTTCTGCTCCTCCACTGCAAAGTGGTTTTATTTTTAGGGCTTCTAGAGAGCTGTGCGTAAATCCCTTGGGGCACGTCACCTCCTGCCTGCCCACAGACCCTGCAGCCAGAGCTCCTCTGAGCTCCTGGGCTGTGGTCTGCTTTCATAAAGAGTCACTGTGATGGTAGGAGCGTGTTCTGTCCCCACTCAGGGCAGGGCTGCAGCGTGTGCCCAGCTGACCCCCGCCGTCCTCCCCATGCAGACCCAGAGACCTGAGGACAGATGCTCGGAACGCAGGTGCCAGCGGCCTGCCAGGAAACTGAACCCGCAGCAACAGGTCCCTTGGAGGAGATGCAAAGCTGCTGTGTCTGTGTTACCCTCTGTACTTCAACACCGGTTCTCTATCCACTAACCTGACTTAACTCCACTCACTGTCCTCTCTGCCTCCAGTGCTGTGTATGTTAATGTAAGGTGACCATTACCTCTAGGGCTAGTTGTTGCTGATGTTGTAATAGTGACTCTCTCCTCACCTTCCTCGTGCTGTGAGTGTGATGTGGGCTGGGCATGGCGGACCCCTGGCTTGCCCTGGGTCCTGTGGGGACCTGGGAGGGGGTGAGCGGCATCGTGGGTGTTTGCGAAGCACCGTGTGCCTCCATGGTGCTGCGTCAATTCCCCTGCTCCTTCCCGGCCCTGGCAATGGAACTGCAGGGCACGGACAGCCCTGGCTGTGGTGCATGCAGCTTACTGCAGCCTGGGCACCGTAGCCCTTAGGAAATTGCTGAGTGCCTACACATGCATGCACATGGTGAGGCTGGGACCAAGCACACGTGGCTCCCCCCCAGCTGGCTTGCTGGCACAGACCAGCAGCATTCTGGTGGCTTTTCCATCTGTTCTGGGACTGCAGCCGGCCATAGCGTGGCCGGGAGAGAAAGGGAGCACGGCACTCATTGCCTGTTCAGCAATAATCCCCCTGGCCCCAAACCCAGGGCTGGGCTGTGCCGGGTGCCCCACAGTGCTGGGATCAGGGCTGCAGGGACCCCTCTGGCACAGCCCCCATTTCCTCTTCTCAGAGCTCCCCAATTCCATCCCAGTGCGCCGTGCTGCATTAAATGGGACAAAGTGCAGAGAGGGCTGTGAAATCCCGTGTCACTGTGAATGAGGACGGCTGTGCAGTGGTGACCCCACCAGCCAGCACCAACCGCTCCTCACCAATGCTCCGTGTGCTGCTGGGGTGGAGCTGAACCGTACACACGCTGAGCTCAGCCCCTGTCCTTGTCACCTCCAGTGGGAAGGGGCAGGGATACTTCCTCCCAGTGCCCGCCCTGTGTCCGTGTCCCCCAGTGGCTGTGTGTTGTCACCCCTCATGCTCTCAGCCCCAGGACTCAGTAGCAGCAGGGAGCGATGCTCAGAGCTCTGCACACCCACTGGCCACCGTGGGCTCAGGTCACCCCCCTGTGTCCAGAAGCCCTCTGTTCCTGGTGGCTTCTCCAAATCCATGCAGAGCCTCACTGGGAACCTGCGGCTGTGCTGGCGTGGGAGCAAAACTCTCTGCATCTTGGAGGCTGTGAGAGGGGTCCTGTGTACTGTGTCCCTTCCTCCTGGCTGTCGCTGCTCCATCTGTCCCTGGGCACAGCCCCCCGTGCCCTGCAGCCCAGTGCGTCGCTGTGTGCCTGTCCCGGTGTCGGTGTTGGAGTGCCTGTGGTGTCTGTGGCGTTCTGTTGGTGTTAACACTAAACAAAGAAAAACCCCGTGGTTGTGTAGAAACAGCCAGACTTTTGACTGTTGTCAAATAAACAGAGCTATTGTGTTTCCTTTTAAATAGGCGAGCGTGCTGCTGTGGTGAAGGACTGGTGTGTTCTGTGCTGTGATCTGAGGGGGAAAGGAATAAAACAGCATTTCTGCCGGTGTCTGACTGCGTAGTGTGCAGAGGTTGGGGGCAAGCATGGAGCAAAGCAAGGGCTGAGCCCTTCCCACACTGTGCCCTGTGCTGGGCAGGGAGGCAGCCAGCCTGGCTCCCTGAGGGAGGTGGCAGCGGCCTCCCGGGCAGCACAGACAGGGCTTTGTGTTGGCAGTGGGCAGGCGCTCTGAGCTTGCTCCGTGCCGCGCTCTTTTCTGCAGCCAGCAGCAGTTTCAACAATAGCCAGAGTCAATAGCTGCATGAACAGTGAGCCCAGCAGCACGGGCACAGGGCCCCTTTGTCCCCTGGTCTTTGGGGCACATCCCTTCTGAGCCATTGGTGCATTGAGAGAGGGGTGCTGAGCAACGCTGGGCTTCATGGCACCTCGGATGCCTGTGTGGCCCTGTGTGCACATCCTGGGATGAGTTGGAGCTGAGCCCTGGCTATGTCCAGGGGGTTGCTCTGTTGGGCCAGCTCTTCTGAGCTCCTTCAGCGCTGAGCAGCTTGGGCACCCACTCGCTGATGGTGAGATTAGGGCTAACTGGATGGAGCAGTCTGCTTAGCAGCCAGCCTCGCCACCAAGGTGGCACAGCTTGGGGACTGCAGCATCCTGGCACCAGCAATGCCATGCTGGTGTGCAGCGAGTGCCTTGGGATGGTTTAGTGATGGCTGGGGCACAGATCGGGCTGCTGCAGGGACCTGGCACTGCAGGGACCTGGCACTGCTGTCACCCTTCTCTCGCTTCCACCCAGCATCCAAGCCCTCCTCCCAGCTGAGACAGGGGCACTCTGCCCAGGCCCTCCCCTCCCTCCCAAAGGCAGGCAGGAGCCCTGGGCCTCCCCTCGTGACTGCGATAAACATTACACCGAGGCCGTTAATGTTTAATGAGGTTTGCCTCCCAATTACCATGCTTTCCCCTGGGTGCCCACTCCCAGAGCCAGACGCCCGTTGGACGGCACGCCGGCGCGATGGGGGACGGTAAGGGAGCTGCGGGCAGCGGGGAACACACAGGAGCACAGGACCCTCCTGTCATCGGGTGGGGGCAGCTTTCATTGGGAGAGATGCAGGGATGGGTCCTCGAAGCCCCACAGCCTGCTGGGGCACCGGCACTGGACAGCATTCAGCTTCAGGAGGGCATTTCTGCAGTCTGAGTTCTCCTTGCCGAGGGACGTGCCATCAGGTGAGGTGGTTCGCAGAGTGGCACAGCCACGATGACAGTGCCAGCCCATGGGGTGCTCAGTGCTCCGGGTCCTTGTGTGCAGCTTAGTTCGAGTCTCGTGCATCTGCAAACGCATCCTGCGAGCACACGGTGAGTTGGGGTGAAAAACAAGAGTTTGGGAATCCTTTACTGGATCGGGAAGGAAATCAAAGCACTCTTCCTTGCAGCTCTCAGCTTTTCCACCTCACCTCCCTGCCCAGGCACCCACTATGAGCCCAGCTCCCAGGCTCAGGCTCCCATTGGGTTTTGTCTTTTCCAGAGCAAGCACCCGAGCAGGGCCCGGACAGGTTCACCTACGGTAAGTGGGTGCCCATGAGGTGTGGGGCTGTGAGTGGGGGGGCTGGCAGCCCACCTCCACACACCCATGCTGACGCTGCAGCTCCCATCCTTCCCCCCAGACTATGAGACCATCCGCCACGGGGGGCTGATCTTCGCCATCGTGGCTTTTGTGATCGGGCTCCTCATCATCCTCAGTAAGTGCTGCCCTGCAAAGGGCTCCTCTCTGCTCCTGGGGTGTCAGTCAGTCCTGCTGCCAGGGTGGGCATCACCCGCAGCCGCCTGAGAAATTTCCACCCAGGCCAACTCCCGACACAAAGTGAGTTGAGAAGGAGACGCTGTAAATATTGAGCATTTCCCTGCCAGCGTCAAAGGCTTCGGAGGGAAGGTCAGTCATTAAAAATAGCAGAGAAAAAGTCTGACATTTCCCTAGGGAGAAAGCAGCATTCCCACAGCCCTTGGCAGCTCCCAGGGACGCGGTGCCAAGCGTGCAGGGCTCTCTGCAAAGCTGCTCTTACCACGACATTCCCGAGTGCTTTAGGGAGAAAGATAAGCAAAGCTCCTGCGTCCGTAGAAGCAGCGTGGGGAGGCAGATGGGCACCGAGGAGAGCACTCAGGCGTTGCTGGGCAGCAACGGGAGCTTAGAGTGCAGACAGCCCTGCAGCCTTCATGGGAGATGGGGAGGGAGAAGGGAAGGGGGCTGTGGGCACAAGAAGCCTCATCTGCTCCTCTCAACCCCAGGCCGGCGGTTCCACTGCGGAGGGAAGAAGAAGAGGAGGTGGGTATGGCTCGGGTTTAAGGCAGCCCTATCTCTCCTGCTGGCTGCAAAGACAGAGACCGGCTTGTCCTCCCACCCCTCCCCCTGATGCTGCCCAGGGTAACGCGTCTCCCCTCACTTTTCCATCCACAGACAAGGAAATGAGGAGGACCTGTAGCTGCAGGTAGGCTGCAGGAGGAGGCAGCTGGTGCTGCATGGCTCAGGGCAGTGCTGTGAGCCACACGGGCACCTGCTCTGGGGGGAGCGGTGCGAGGACAAACTGTGACCCTCCACTCCATCCGGTTCCAGAGTTGCTGTGGGAGGAGAGCTTCATCCACAGCTGTGAAGTCCTTGCCAAGGGCCACCCCTTGCCCCGCTCCAATGCATCCATTCATTATCCTGCTCACCCTGGGCAAGGCTGGGATGCTAATTGCCCTCGTGCTTTCCCCTCTGGTAGATCCAGCGAGTGTTTCTTAGCTAATAAAGTTCCAGCTGAGAGAGGTTAAACTTTGTGCCCGAGACATTCTCAATTGCCCACTCTCCTGGCCCAGCACCAATGAATTTCTGCCCTGCAGGCATCTTCCAACACAGCACGGCCCAGTGGCACACAGTAACCCCATCTGCATTGGGTCCCACGGAGGGAAGGATGTCCCCAAGCCCAAACACCCCAGTGCCTTCCTGCCCAGCACGAGGGCTGGCTGTGGGGCCCAAATTTTCAGCACGTGCCCTCCTCATGGGATGCACTGCCTGTGTTTTTGGCCGGTGCCCTGCACACACGGTCAGTGCTGTTGGGGAGGGGCTGTCAGTGCGCTTGCTTATCTCGGACCGCTTGCTCCAAACATCCTTCCTGCGCAGGGACAGGAAACAATTTGTGCATCGGTTTCACATCTTTGGATGCAAACCAAAAAATCCCTTTCCTGCAATTGTTGAGCAAGGCGTGCAGCTGGCTGTGAGTTCTGTGCTGGACCAAGGCAGACACCTAGCGACCGCCATGCAGCATGCTGCAGCTGTGCTGTGCCCTGCTGGGCTGCGTGCAGCCCCGCAGTGCTGCCCCTGTTCTTCTGCCCCTGAGGGCTTTGCAGCTGGGGGTGCACCTGGGAGTGATGGAACAAGCTTTGAGCCAAGGCAGAGAATAGAAGTTGCACAGAAAGGGGAATAGAGGAAGCAATCCCAGCAGCAGCAGTGCGTGGGGTGCATTGGGGGGAACAGTTCAGGCAGTGAGCACTGGGTTTGGACTCAGAGCTCTCTGTGGGTTTAAGCCCTCATTGCTCTGTATTCTGGAAACTCAAACTCCCCCCTCCCTATGATGTTGGCAGAGGAGAAACTGCCTCACCTGCTTCGCTTGGGCTTAAATCGAGGTCAGACACTGACAGTAAAATAGGATTAGCCAGGGGAAGGTTATTAGACAAAATCCGTGCAATTTGTATAATCTGAGGTGCTTATTTAACACGGTAAGGAGATTATTTGGAAATATAATTTTGTTTTGACACTGACCCACTAATAAAGGCTCGGTGCAACTTTGCACGGTTCAAGCAGGAACCTTCAGAGGGGAGCAGCTCCCCTGCAGCAGCACAGACGAGCCAAAGGCTTTGCTTGCAGCCTTGGCCTCTCTCCCTGCTGCAGCTCCCAAACCCCACAACCTGGGGGTGCGGTGTGGTTGTGTCCTCCTGCAGAAGGAGCCGAGGGCACAGCAGCCAGGAGAGCAGCTGGCACAAGGAAGGACCCTCAGTTGTGCCATGTGCCCTCCAGGCTCCCATTTCCCTGTGTTGGCTGCACCGTAGCTCATGGGCAGCTGTGCCCTTCAGGGTACACATCCCCCAGCATCAGCCCCGAGAGAGAGACCCCCACACAGCCACCTCAAGAGGCACAGTGGGAGCAGATTAATGGGAGCAAAAAGCCGTGTCTGCTCCCTGCACAGGGGGATCTGTGTCTCGGCACCAGATGGCATTAATAGCATTATTCTGCACGGCTTGCAGACACACGTGTGCACGTATGCTCACACAGCCCTTTGCACGCCTGGCTGGGGTTCAGGGTCTCTGCCACGGGTTGGGGACACCAAAAAGCCACAGCGTTCTGCTGGATTGCCCTGCTCCCATGTCTACCCAGCAAAAGGCTCCTGCCCCACTCCGCTCACCCCTCTGGGGTGCCCACAGGAACGGCCCCATGGCACGGCCAGGAGCTGCTGGCCCTGGTGAGCAGGCACTCGCCTTCTGCCCTGAACCAGGCAATCTTGGGGGATTTCTCTCACACCGTGCCTTGAGCCATTAATCTGCTCAGAGTAAATCTTTTCTGTGACACAAAGGGGATTGGGTAAATAATACAGTGGGCAACCGGAGCGTCCTTTTCCTCCGGGATGCATCTAGTTTAGAGCAGCTTGGCACCACTCACCATTTGCTTTGCCAGGCACAGGGAGAGGCGCTCTGACGAGCCGTGGCTCGGACAGTTTTGGTGCTTAATGCACTGTAAATGTGAGAGGTGAGGCACTGGGGCAGCAGCCAGGGATGTGGGGCGCTCATCGTGCCCAGCCTATCAGCGCCACTCCACCATCGCTGCGGTGCCGGGGATGCATTTGGCCCGGGAGGAAAAGCGAATGCAAAATGTCTCCTCATTAGCTAAAACAGGAGAGCAGCAAATGGTGACTAATGGAGCCAAGGAGGAACACTTGACGATGTGGAGAGACGGGGCCGGGCTGGCGGGGTGCCAGCCACACGCCTCGCTCTGCCTTTGTTCTGCTTCGGAAAAGGCAGCGCATCCATCAACAGCAGCGGATCTGCCAGAGCAGCAGCGGCTCCACGGGCTGAAATTATCCTCCCAAGTGAAACAAATCATGTTTCAGCTCTCGCCCCCCTGTGGAGCACGCTCCGGAGCAGGGCTTATTAGGGTGTATCACTCATACCGGGCAGCTGCCCAGCCCAGAGCCCGCATGGCACAGGTGCTGAGCCGCATAGCGGGCAGCCAGGAGAGATGGGCTGTGCTTTCCGGACGGGTTTGGCGTTGAGACGAAGCTGGGAAGCGAAGAGCGGTCCTCGCAGCCCTGCTCGGAGCTGATCGGGTCCTGCTGACTCCCGGCCGGGCCCGCCGCTCCGCACGGCGGCACTAGGGGGAGGCAGAAGCCGCGCTTCGTGCGGCTCCAAGCACCCTTCAGAAGGCACAGAGCTGTCGGAGCGCGCTGCCCGCTGCTCTCGGTCTGATCGAGGTGTTACCAACCTCTACACACGGCTGCAAGCCGCCGGCATTGGCCCTCCCGCTGCCGGTCTGCTCGATCCATCGGGGGAAACTGACGCACGGAGCGGGGTGGGAGCTTTGCTCCCTGACACAGTACAGCACCGAGCCATCCCTGGGGGACCCAGGGCCTGCAGCCCTCTCCCCATATTGAGAATACTCACAGGGCTGTGCCTGCCCCTTTAGCACCCAGGTGCATGCAGTTAGCTTGGGTGCAGGTGCAGCCCATCCTGCAATTTAGTCCCAAGGGCTCTAAGAATTCTGTGTGGTGGTACTGGGGATCTCCGTGCAGGACAGAGGCAGTGTGTGGGGGCTCTCAGAAGTGGCAGGCTGGGGTCACAGTGGGCTGCCTCCCCGGATGCAGGGGTGCTGTCAGGTTAAGCCCCTCACTGCATCGGAAGCATCCTGTGGAAATCCTGTAAGTAGCCCTGCTGTTTTAATGAGTGCTTCCTCTATGGGATTTGTCTGGGAGAGCGGCTGGGGGATGTGGGGTGAGAGGGCTGTGTGTTGGCTGTTTCCTTGAGAGAGGTCCTCAAATGTGGCTGTAGCTGTGGGTCTGATGCAAGGCTGCTTTTCTGCAGTGCTCCTCAGTGTCTACATGCAGGCTGTGTGTTTGGGCAAAGCACCCAGTGGAATAATGGATGTGTGAGCTTAGGGGGCATCCAGGAGCTGAGTATAAATGCTGTCCAACCCTAGAGCAAAAAAGTTGCAGCCAGGTAAAGCTGCTTTGGACAAAGCAGCTCCTTCACCAGGATACAAGTGTGCCAGCCCTTCTGTATGCGTTCTGTGCTGAAGTGGAGAGGGGCTGCGTGAGGTGTGTGATGCTCACATTCTGTCAGTGGGGCGGCTCTTAGTAGGGTAACAGCTTTCTGGGCTGAGTGCTGACGTGAAGGAGACACACCAGTACTTCTGTGAGGGCTCACATGTGGGCGCTATGGGAGGCCTCTTTCTCTGAGTGTGGGGGCAAAGCCCAGGGGTGGGCTCTCAGTCAGTGCCCCGTGCTCCCTCCCTCACTGCAGGGGACAGAAGCTGCACCTGGGACCAGCAGTGTGCCGATAGCAGGAGGAAGGTTCCATCAGCAGGTTCTGCTCAGCTGCTGGGGGAGGAAGGGGAAGATGCTTGGCATGTGGCTGGCAGTCCCTAGGGCCTGGGACTTGCTTGTAGCCTTGAGTATGGGCCAGAATCCCAATTTCCCTGCTGGATGTCAGCGAACATCTGTACACAGGTGGAGCAGGGGGTGGAAATACACCTCAGTCCCTGGGCGATGCGTGGGTGCAGGGTGGGTGTCAGCCAGAGCTTTGGGGTGCAGGGAGGGCTGCATGTGGGGACACCCACACGTGATGACAGAGTGCTGTGTGTGGGGGGGTGATGGATCCCAGCAGCTGAGGGTGATAAAGCACTGCCTCAGGGAGGAGGAGGAAGAAGGGCTGTGGTGTCAGCACACTGCAGGGGGCACCTCAGGGATAGAGGTGTCTGATTCTCTCAAATGAAAAAATGAAGGAAGGGACTGCGGTGAGCTGGAGCAGGTTGAAAATGGCCAAGGAGCTGCATTTCTAATTGTTTTTACTGTGAGATGTGTTTTCTTCTAAGCCTAAACAGGTTTTTTTTTTTTTTTCTTTAAAGAAGACAGTGCATATTTTTATCCATTCACTGTTGCTTCAATCTTTCTGTTTATTTCTCAACAAATTGGGGTTGAACAGGTTGCTTTGGAAAGCAAGGAGAAACCTTTGTGAGCACTCCAAGAAAAGACATCCTGAACTCCTCTAATGGTCCAGTCAAATTGGCTTTGGTGTTAGTCAATCTATTAAGCCTTGGATTAAACACACCCCAAAATACAGCATGGCCTGGTGCGTGTGTGCTGGCTGGAGGGACGCTGGTGTAGTGAGGTCTACTAGGCCCTGTTCTGTGGGATCACTGAGTGCTGGTGCTGTTTGTCCTGTAAATCCGATTTTGTCCCTGGGCTGCTAAGGGTTTCCAGGAGGAGGAGCGCTGCCAGCCATGTTTCAGGCACAGCTGCCTTGAGGAGCAGCTCTGCGGCCGGGACACGGCTCACCCCAGGGGAAACCCTTCTGTACGAAGGTGAAGTTGAGCTTTGCAGACGATGGAGCTGTGCTCAGCTTTACGGAGCGTGACGGGCACGGCCCGGCCGTCGCTTAACCCGATCGCTCGCACCCGGCGCTGCGGGGCGGTCGGAGGTGCGGGGCGTTGCGCGCTTGCCCAGGTGTGAGCGCAGCGCCGGGCTCGGTGCGTGCCACCAGCCGGGGTGGGCAGAGGAAGGGCGCGCG